GAAGAAAGGTTAGGAGAATCTTCTCGCGAATCGTCTTGTTGACGGCGATTTTGTTTTCGCGACGATGGTCGGTCCCTTGAAGAGCTGCGGTGATGGGATGAGCTTCGATGTCTCCGATGTTTAGGCATTGTAGAAGAAGACACACTACATGAACGTGCTGATGCTGCGTGAACAGGAAACACAAAGAGGGGAATAGGCGCGGGGCACCGCGAGATGCAGGACGACACCAAATAAATGCCGCCGCTGGCCGTGCGGTAATTTTTATTTTTGTATATACTGTGAACGCTGTTGATAATGCAATGCAGGGGCATGACTACATTTATCCATCCGGACGAGACACTTTGGCATAATGAAGGTTTATAATTTATTTATTATAATACTATATAAACTTAAGTAAAACGTTACACCGTATATGTATAAAGAGAATTTACAAGAACATTTTATTATAATAAAAATGCTGTCATGTATGTATTATTCAAGTTTTAGTTCGATACAGTTTTTTAAAGTCAAATTAGATATCATTAACATTTCGTCAATTATAATAAGAATAACATCTTTGAATAAAAATATATCAAAATATGTAGAATATATACATATTCGATATGTATATTCTATAGTGAAGGTTTATAATTTATTATTATACTATATAAACTTAATTAAAACTTTACACCGCATATGTATAGAGAGAATTTACAAATACATTTTATTATAATAAAAATGCTATCATATATGTACTAAACAAGTTTTAGTTCGATATAGTTTTTGGTGCAGCCGCGTCAAGATTTTTGTATCAAATATTTTTTATTGCATTGTTATAATAATTAATTTGTTACAATAACAAGTAAAATAACCATATAACTCAGTGTTCTAATAAATAATGATAAATTTTACTTGTAAGAATTTATGTTATGGACATTTTTTGTAGCTAAGTTTTCTTGAATATTTTGAATAACATAACTTTTAAAAAGATATTTTTTTTAAACATTGGACACTATTAACAAACGTGTTAAATTTTTATAACACGATATAATTTTTACTTTTAAAAGTTTATGTACATATATTATGAAAACTTATGTTATATACATAATATATATCTTAAAAAAGAAAATAATTTGAATTTGAGATTTCTAAAAATATTAAGTTAAGTATACAATAATCATATATATATGTTAGGTTTCTCAGTTGGCGCTACTATTCTAATATATCACTTCATTTGTACAGTAGAAAAGTGTTGCAGAGTTTTATTATAGTTATAAGTTTTACTTGCAAAAACTTATATACACATATATACAATAAAAAAAATAATTTGAGTTTGATATTTCTAAAAATAACACAATACGTGTTGCGCTTGTACCTGGTGTCTTTTTTTTACCTTTTTGTTTAAAAGGGTAAGTTTTATATAATATTAAATGTACGTACGTTTCACGTATAATCGTTCGTTTATTCGAGTTAATTTGTTGAATAAGACTAGAGCGGTATGTACCAGAAAAATAAGGACAAATTGTCATTGCACGTGTGCAATTTTTTGACACTGATTTATGGTATTAATCGATATTCGATTTTCAGTACTGATTTAGTCTTTCATTTCTCTATAAGAAAACAGAAAATTAATACGAATCATCCATTAATCCGCGTTAATTTGATGAATAAATTAGGTATTGATCGGCCTTCGATTTTCGGTACTGATTTATTCTCTCATTTGTTTATAAGACAAGAAAAATTGATACGAATCGTTCGTTTATCCGAGTTAATTTGTTGAATAAGACTAGAGCGGTATGTACCTGAAAAATAAGAACAAATTGTTATTGCACGTGTGCAATTTTTTGACTCTGATTTATGGTATTAATCGATATTCGATTTTCGGTACTGATTTAGTCTTTCATTTCTCTACAAGAAAACAGAAAATTAATACGAATCGTCCATTAATCCGCGTTAATTTGATGAATAAATTAGGTATTGATCGGCCTTCGATTTTCGGTACTGATTTATTCTCTCATTTCTTTATAAGAGAAGAAAAATTGGTACGAATCGTTCGTTTAACCGAGTTAATTTGTTGTGTAAATTACAGCGGTAACTACCTGAAAAATGAGAACAAATTGTCATTGGACAATTTTCTGACACTGATTTATGGTATTAATCGGTATTCGATTTTTGATACTGACTTACTCTTTCATTGCTCTATAAGAAAAGGAAAAATTGGTACGAATCGTTTATTTATCCGCGTTAATTTTTTTTTTATTATATATAAGTGGTCCATGGGACGATTAAATATTCGAATACATGTTGCCGTATCAAAGTCTCCTCTATAATAAACGATTTGACACGTCTGGAGACGCATGATGTATCGTTACCCGCATCCCATTCCCTTCGTCCTGCTTCCCTGTAAAATGTCGAATTGAAACGTATTAAAAAGTATTGACATTTTGAATATGTCTGAATTCTGAATCTTTTTAATCCGAAGAAAAGGATTGAAAAGTATTAGTTCCCATTAAATTTTACTGCGCTAAATGCGAAACGATCTCTTTCGCCCGGGTGCCTCACCAGGGAAATTTCTCTCTGATACGCTAAATCCCGTAAGGCCATCAGTCTTTGTAGTATATCTCGTCGGTGCATAAGGTTTATATTACCTGTATTTTATATTACCAGTACATACATATTTTGAAATATTTTCTTTGGATATTATATCAAACGGATTTTGCGTGTCACGTAATATCCTTCGGACTATACGAACATTATTATTTTGATCATTTTGATTTCTTTAGTATTCATTGAATTATCCAGAACGCGCAACTGCTATGTTGAACGTCTCAATTGTCGTGTGAAATGTTTCGATTTTCACAAATTCATATAAAGCTTTTCATTTTTCACTGATTCACAGAAGTCTTTCACTTTTTATTAGTTCACGCTAGGGAAAAGATTCATTATCGCTGCCCCGAGCAGCTGCAACGCTTTTCGAATCGTCTATGTCGGCGCGCTTTTACTCCTCAGATCTCTGTCATTAATAACTCGATAATTATTGCGAATCTCGCAAAATGGTGTGGGACTTTTATGTTTGTCTTAACCCAATCTACTTTCACACTTCGGGTTGGCAGTTAATTACCGGACACTTCGTATGATCTTCATGATATTAATCGTACACAATGTCAATTCTTTTTTTTTTGCACATGTTAATATGTTAATTCATGTTATAAACGCGTAACAATATGCGAGACCGTGCTTGTCAAGTACGCTATTATGGTTGTAGCACGGACATAAACCGCCTAAAAATGGATATAGCACGGACTGCTACCACATACAGGTTTTACCGCCGAAACCTGAAAGTGGATGTAGGCCAGTTTTCATAGTCGGATCTTATATTTAAGACCGTCTTAAGGCTCGTCTACATTAGCTGTAAGAGTAAAGCCCGTGTCAGACTATGGATTGGGATTGAGATTAGATTGAAATTTGACCAATTGAAAAAGAGAAAATAATCTCAAGTATAGTAAACTTACTCCTGATTGGTTAAATTTCAATCCAATACTCAATCCCAATCCGTAGTCTGATACGGGCTTAAGGCTATAAGGTTGCAAGACATGAAATGAAATATTTTCATTCGCTGACAACTTACGCTACAGCCTTACAGCCTTACTCTTACATTGTAGACTAGCCTTTAGAAGCCTTCAACAATAAGCAATTAGTCATAAGCTATAAGCAAATTGACCAATCACAATTAATTATTTCAAAAATAATAGACTGTGGTTGGTCAATGTCGTTACAACTTATGAATAGCTTATTGTAGAAGGCCCATTATATTTAAAATCGTTTTAAGTTCACTTTTGAATATTCCGTAGCCAATGAAGTAATTTGTACAGTATCTGAAGGTAAACTTTAGACGATCTTAAATATAAGACCTGACTATAAATACCAGCCATGGACTAAAGCCCGTATCAGACTATGGATTGGGATTGATATTTGACCAATTGGAAAAAAGAAAATAATTTCAAATATAATAAACTTAGCCCTGATTGGTTAAATTTCAATCCAATACTCAATCCCAATCCGTAGTTTGATACGGGCTTATGTCATTGACGAGGGACATAGGAGCGGCGAGATAAAGCATGAATAGGAGCTTATTATCTCCCCCTTGCCGTGCTCCAGCGTATGCTAGCTGTATTATCTTGAGCGTAGCTAAAGCAGTCGGTATTATCATCGCTCTTCAATTATCCCCGGACTCTTGGAGCCCCCTTGGCTGATACGAAAATTTACCCAGGTCTGTCAGTCTTCATATTACTTCGTCGATGATATAACTGAAAAGTTGCCTAGCGCCATTCAACGGTGATTTTGAAATAATACCATTAGTTCCAAAAATCTCCGTTTTGAACCATCACTATGGTATGTAGTACGACTCAATGATAAAGTAAACAAGTTATTATACTTAAGTAGTACAATCAACAGTGAAGCAGATAATTTCTTTATTTTCAAATAATGTAACTTAGCGAAAAATTTTCTATATCAAAATATTACATTTTAACGAAAAACAATGATGAAATGATCTTTTCCTTGTTTATTTATATTATTAATAATAACGAAGATATGTGAAGTGTTTGTGTTAAAGGCTATCTCTGTCAGAATAAATATTATTTTTATTTATATAAAAAGAATATCATAAGATGAAATGAAAACAATACTTGATTTTATTTAATGAACAGGACATTTTTGACCTTATATACTTGTGTGTATACATTGGGTATATCTCATTGAGATAAATTATAACCTTTATCTTTTATTTCAATAAAAACAGTAAGTATTTATTTTATGGTAAATAATTTTATTATATTACCTTTTTCCCTCAGTATTAATGTATAATTTATATTTTTTGTATTCAACAAAAATAATTAACGTGATATGAATTGAATATATCAAAATACAAAAATGTTGTTGCTTATATATTATGAATATGTCGTTATTTTTATGATATATATTGATACTTATTAAATTTTTACTTACATGCGTAGGAAGAATAGAGAAATATTCAACATGACTTCAAAAAAATGGATAATCAATTATATTATATTAGTACTATTTTTCAACTTGATTGGTTTATTATATATTTTTGGAGTAGCAAAATATATTACTGATTTTGAAGAAAATACATGTGAAATGACGTACATGTTTGAATATCCGCAATATGTGGTACGTAAACTTGTATATTATAACTTAAGAGTAATACTTTTATACAGTAATATTGCATATGATATATAATCTATATGCTATAAAAGTAGGGGATATTTATTTTGAACAATATGTTTATCTTCTATTTTTATTCGATTATCTTAAAATATACTGATCAAACTACTTAATAAAAGAAAAAAATATTCTTTCATGAATGTTGTATAAAAAGATTACATAGTATTTTCACAATGTTATAAAAATAATTTGTTATATTGTATACAATATTTATTTTAAAATATTTATATACGATTTTTCAATGATATTTTCTAAATAATTTTCTATTTTAGAGGATATTTTTAAAGAATGATTTAGAAGAGAAATATCCGCGATTTGCATTATATGCCTATGGGGAAGGTTTTGCCACAGAGAAATTGAGAAGAATGCATTTTTCTGGAATTCCAGTCCTTTTTATACCAGGAAATGCAGGATCTCATCAACAAGGTTCATATTGTGTCTCTTAACTGTGAACTTTAAAGACATGATACTTTGAATACATGATATATTCCTATTATAGTCTTATAGATATTTAAATACTTTATCTAATCATTTTATTGTATTTCAGTACGATCTATTGCTTCAGTAAGTTTAAGGAAGAGTTTAAAAAACAGGACACCATTTCATTTTGACTTTTTTACTGTTTCATTTAACAAGGATTATTCTGCATTATATGGAGGTACAAATAAAATGAGTAATATTGTGTATTAAATCTTAAAATCCTTTTATCGATGTTTGTACTTCATGAGTTATATTTTTTAATATAAGGTGTGCTTATGGAGCAAACCATTTATGTATCGCATTGTATAAAGACAATATTATCCTTGTACAAGGGTAAAATGGACAGTGTCATATTGATTGGACATTCTATGGTAAGTATCACAAGTATATTATGATAAATGACAAGTGTAAAGTATGTAGAGACATATTTCATATGATTTAGTTACAAAGCTGATCTCTTATTTCAGGGTGGTATTATAGCAAAAGGAGCCCTTTTATTGGCACCGAATATGAATGCTTCCTTAGCAAGCATGATAATAAATTTGGCTACTCCTCATACTCCTGTCTTGGCTCTTGACAATTCGTTTGCCAATTATTATCACAACTTGGAAAACCGTTTAGGCATGATTAAAGATGCGGGAACAAAAGTGGTGTCCATCGGGGGCGGACCACGCGATATACTCGTAACTGCTGCACAAACTCTCGATCGTACAGCAGATATTAACGTTCTTTCGACGAGTGTGCCTGCTGTCTGGAAATCGACGGATCACTTGAGCATTCTATGGTGCAAGCAATTGGTCTTTGCGATCGTACGTTCTCTATTTGACTCTGTAAACATGGAGAAACCGCATAGAATCACGTCAAATCCCGACTTGAAAATGCAGGCCTTGTTCTATCACTTTTTACAAGTAAGTAATAATTATTTGTCAATGTTTTTTATCATGATATAATCTTATTATAACATTCTGATTTCAGCATAGTTCAGGTAAAAAGCTATACCACTACAAAGAGCAGTTTCATTTCGATACTGATAGTGAGTGGATCAATGTTATGCCTCAACAGTATGTCTGGAACAATAAGAATATATCTAAAAGGTCTTTTACTGTGTATCTTATGGTAGAACTATCCCGCAAATCTGACTTTTTAACAATCGATGCAATAAACTTGGAGAACAAGGATTGGTTGTTTGGATGTACAGCATCCAAAAAGCAGGAGCAAAGGAAAATTTGGTAACATTTTATAAACTACATATTATTACTTGAGAAGAAAAATTATTGTTCATACCGATAAATCTCGCTAAATGCGTATGTGTAGTGAATGGGGTTGGAACTTGACGAATAGAACGAGAATTTTACCGGATCCTCTACATCGAACAAGAAGGGTCGTCGATTTAGACCTAAAAAAAATTAATTATCCGGCTATCACACATATTGTAGTGAGAGTAACTCCAAACGATTTGAATAAACATTTAATGATCAGCTTCGATTCGTACTTGTACGAGAGTCGAGTTGAGTCGACGAACAAGTTCATGCGTCTAGATTATCTTCTTGATTTCCGCAAGTCTGATTACATTAAAACTGGCAAAGGCAACGTAAGATATTACGTGGCGCTCCCCAACATTATAGATGCGGTCGCGATCGAAGTGAAATCAGTGAATTGCATCAATACCAAGCAGCACACTATCGCCGAACTGGTAGAACCGTGGAACATAGGAGCCACTCAGTTAAGATTTTTCACGAACACGTAAGTTTATTTAATGTAATATATCTCACACATAAGCTCATGATGTTCATGGCGCAGGGATGACGGTCCAAAAACGATGAAGATTCAGACTCTCTACGGGCGTCCCAATGAAACGGCGAGTCTGAGACTGACATTGGATCCGGAATGTCTTTACGCGATTAAAGTTCGACCAGGTGGAATCATCGATAAGATCTCTTGTAGAGTACGGGATCGTTGGCCGTTGCTTTATATAGCAATCATCAGTTTACTCCTGCTTTTCTTATCTGCAAGAGTACATCGAGAGTCCGACACTCTGCCGGTGATAATCGTGACTGTTGTATTATCCTTCATCTTTAATGTCACTTTCGAAACCTGCGTTGCTTTATGTATCATCGGCCTATCCGCTGCCTATGTGTGCTTCTCAGTCATATTTCTCGGTTCCATCATAAAACATGGAATACTCACTAAGTAAGATTTTCTATTTACATCAAAATAGAAAATAGAAAGAGTGGTAAGGTCAATCGTAGCGTTTTGATAAAAATTTTGTATCTTTTGCAGATTCCTAGCACGTGCGATAGCTTTTTCTACCACATGGATGGACTGGTTACTGCATGGTTTAAATGAGATACCATTACTTACGACTGTTCTTATAGTGTCTTTAACTATGACAACATGTGGAGCTTTAGCTATGATCGTCTCGGTGTTGCTTTACTACGTGAAATTAACGAGGATGTATGAGGACTATTTGGAAGAGTTATTAATGGCTTCACTCCAGCATTTTGACTGGTTGAAACGTTTTAAGTTTACAGGAAGCAGAGAAAAAAGTGACAGAAGTCAAGAGATATATAATCATCTCGTTCTGTTTTTACTGTGGAGTTTTGCTGCAATACCAGCAATCCCGTCCGTCTTAGTATGGGCGAAAAATTTTAGGTATTGTATACTGGAAAAAATTTGTTTAAAAAAAAATCCTAAATTTTATATTAATAAAAATAAATTAATCCATTTTTTACAGCTACGACATGAGACTCACCACGGAGGACTCTGTACTTTTTATAAGTTGGATGATATTAGCTATGTATTACGCGTTGGGTGCAAAATTTATTCCTAATCATAAGGGAAATCGTTCACTTATATTAAGTAGTATAATACGTCTAACGAGCTGGATCGTTCTTTCGATGACTGCGGCACCGCGTCCATTTTTTTATCATTGGTGCATGTCACCTATCGTAGCCATGACAATGATGCTTATTGCATTAAATTCATTAATTCCCTAAAGTCTGATTCAAATAATAATTGGAAAATAATTGTTTTTTTTTCTTTAATCGTTTATCGTTAATATGGCATTTAAGACAGTATTGTATACATTATGTCACATAATTTACATAATATATTACTTCGTTAAGAAACTATTATTAACTTATAATGCAATCGATCGGAAAATTTATCTTGTTCTACAGGCTCATTGACCGACTAAATTAAAACTAGCAACAGCTGTGTTGTAGCATGCAAATATTAAGTTATACGGAAATAGTCGAAGTACACGATTATAGCGTATAGATTTATCTCGATGTAATCCATTTAGTATACGTTTACGATGTTTCAATAATAATTATAACATGACCAGAAAAATACCTATGTACTATAACGCAAGTCTGAATCCTGAGCTTATTGTGATACGTAGGTATAAAGAAGAAAACGAGTATAATTTATGTACAAGTCCTCTTGAGATTGATATAATTTATTTGTTAAGAAAGTGTTAATTTATAACATTTATTGATTAAATCCTTGTTAATAATAATTTAATAATAACCTTTATATTTCTTAATTAAATTTTTTTTCTTTTTAATTCAAACATACTGCTGACAAAAATAAAATAAACATTACTGCAAATAAATATTATACATCACAAAATTTTGCAAGAAAAAATTTTACCACATGATTAATAAATGTCACTTAGGAATAAAACTATTTTTTCCAATTTTAATCAATTCATTCATGGAAAGGTTAATGTATTATTAAAAATGTACAATGTCTTATTTATGAAGTAACAAGTAATATGTCCTTACATGTTTCTCTACCATGCTACTAGCTATAAAATAACCTTGCTATATGAAATTTCTAGTATCTTGTTCTATGTACATGTGGCTACTTCATAGAAAACTTACTCTACAGATGTAGTATCAGTGTTTATATTTTCCACACTGTAAACACATATCTGTTTTTTAGTAATAGAATGACTTCCATAATTGACAACCATACCCATTTGATGTCTAAGAAAGTCTACAGTTTTCATTGCAAATGTTTTATTATTTGCATGTACCTCTGGATGTTGCATGAATTCACTTAACTGAAAAAAATAGTAAACAAAAATGCTAGTTAAAACAATAATAAAACTTAATTTTGTCTTAAATTAATTTCAATCTATCAATCAATGAAACAAAATATATTCTAGCTCAAATATTTTTCAAAATCAACAAAACTATGTAAATATATTCTTAATACTGTTAAATTGAACACGTGAAAAACATCTCACAATACAAAATACTATTTTTACCTTCATCCACTTGCACTCTAAAATTTCTCGTTTACATTTCTGAATTTCAAAATTCCGTGGAGTTAAGTATGCAACCATATATATATCTGAACATCCAAAGGAGTAATCATGTCCATGTCTGAAAGATATTAAACACTTGAAATCTGCTTGAATTCCTGTTTCCTCCAAAACTTCTCTCTTAGCTGCTGCTTCAAAGTTTTCTCCTGATAAAGTATAAAAAAATAGACATACATATATATACCTAGCAAACACAATATTATATGTAACACACAATATTACATGTGCATGTTAGTTGTAATTTCCTACTCAACAATATAACTGTTATATAACACATGTGTTATATATATATAAAATAGAAATTATAGTATACTGACATATACAATAGGTCTTATTAAAATACCTGGTTCTACATAGCCACCTGGAAGTTTCCAAGTTGCTTTATTAATGGAATATTTTTCCTTGATAACAAGGATTTCATCAGATTCCTTATTATACACAAATGCACCGACTCCTAGAATTGTATGTGCGTATTTTGGAACATTGCAATGTTCATCAACAGGCAACCAACGATACAACATGACATATTCCTCTTTTGCATGATGAAATACAAACCCTTGCTTTGTTAATATTGGAACCCATTCTGTATGAGGTATACGCACGCGAAACCATATAGTGCGCTTTTTATCCTTCACCCATTGTTCTAAGGAATCTATAAGGCCATTTATAACTTGTTTATAATGTATAGCAAGTTATATTCTTATTATGTTCAGTATATAATCATCTATATTTTTAGAGAAAAGAAAAAAAGAAAAAACAAGAAACAAGACAGGATGACGAAACTGATAAAATATCATTACCTCTAAGACGTTGCGCAAATATTTTACTGTCGCAAGTCTCTTCTGCCGAATCAATCGTTATACCATTATAATGATCACTTTGACCATTGAAAATTTGCTTAGCCATTGTGGCATCCAATTTTCCGATATGTACGTTACACTGTAAACGCGAAGGAAAATTGTTCGACTTTTGTAAAGACGATCGCAACAATTTAGTAACGCGAAACAATCTCGTAGTAGATGCGACCTGCATTGAATCAGGCGATCGAATTTTTAACGTGAACATTAGTAAATCGTTAAATGACTGTCAGTCCTACTAAAGGATTGATAACAGAAGTCGAAAATATTCAGTCATATAGATAATAAAAACATTCGCATAAACATTGACGGTCATTCTCATTACTTTTTATCTGCATGTATCTATCTATAACCTTAATATTCATCAGACTGTCTCGTCAGAAACATATTACTCACTACTTTTTGTTGACGTGTATGTCAAAATAAAATTCTGTTATTATCGACTCAATGTCGGAAATTATAATAAGTGACACTTATGTAACTATTAATCATGATTATATACCTCGTAAATTTAACCTCAAAATACAATAATGATCAGGGAAAGGAAGTCAAATATTAAAGCTATCTATGATATAAGGTCGCGCGCATTTATATAATTAAAATGCTTTTTATTCTTATTAAAAACAATTTTAATCAATAATATATGCGCCATTCTTATTCCACAATCGTTTTCGTTTAGCATTATTATAAAAAATCAATTTTTCATCTTCCGCTCACTTGGAATGAAAACAAACCATTTTTTAAATGATGATAGATGAGAAGTAGATTTTTTATAATAACGTTGAACGCAAACGATTGTGGAATAACTTATTATATACCACAAGATAAGTCTAAAATATCAGCTATCAAAACATACAGATAATCAACTATCTTCTTTTTTGTTGTCACTCGGAATTAAAATTTCTTTTTCTTCCTTCTTCTAAATGTCCTAAGTTATTGACAGTCTAAAATGTCTGAAAACTTATTAAATTATTAACAGTTTAAACCGAATTTAAAGTTCATTAACCAGTAGCGGCGTTCGTGGCTGCACGAATTGAATGTGTCGATTTGACACAAAACAATTGGACACAAAGTAAATGATTGGTTGGATTTAATAATTTACCAGATAAAGATTTACACCGGTTGGTTGTATGCAATCATGCTGTGTCGAATTAGGAGCCACTTTACTAGACATTCAAAATGTGACAATTAACAACCCAATTAAAAATGTAACTTTTTACGGTTTTTAGTAACATTTTTATCTGTAAAAACGAATTTTCCTATTAGATATCGAACATAGATATAATGTATTATCCACCATAATAAATCCACCATAAAAGGGGTATTCTATTTTTTTTTTTCTTCTCGATGATTCGTTGTTGTAACATATTGCTCCATCTAAAGGCTCGTCTACATTAGCTGTAAGAGTAAGGCTGTAAGGCTGTAACGTAAGCTGTCAGCGAATGAAAATATTTCATTTCGTGTCTTGCAACCTTACAGCCTTACTCTTACAGCTAATGTAGACGAGCCTTAATGTAGACGAGCCTTTAAAGGCCATCACACGTAGAAAAATTTTAACCGTAACTGTAAGGTTGTAAGAAAACTGACCAATCACAGTCCATTATTATAATGTCACAAGAGAAAGGATCGACTGTGATTGGTCTTTCTTACAACCTTACGGTTACGGTTAAAATTTTTCTACGTATGATGGCCTTTACTGCCTATTTCAACCGTAACCTATAGCTAGTGGATGGGCACACAATAGTTGTTAACCAATTTTCAAATAATTTTGTTGAAATGGCTATTTCGCAGAAAAAACTATCGCAAAATAAAGCTAAAAGGAAGCAACAAAAGGAAGAACAAAATTTAACTGAAAAACATGAAGAAGTCGTGGGAACAGTATTGAGAACAAAGAAACGGAAAATCAGTGAAGAGGTTAAGCATGTGTCAGAAGCGAAAGAACAAGAAACGAATGTTTCGATAGAGAAGATAACTAAGAAACAAAATGCACAAAAAACGGGTGATAAAGTAATAACAGTTGCAAAAAAAAGTGCAAAAAAAAAGAAAACCATGACAGAAGTAAAATCCATGGAATTGAACGAAAAGAATGACAAAGAAAAAGATATTGAAGCAGAATTATCAAAAAGTCATATAGAGCAGTGTATTTCAGCAATGTTTCATCTAATTGAGGAACAAGTGCAACTTAAAAATAATCTTACTGGAGAGGTTCATCCAATATTCATGCAAGTGACTTGCATCAGGATACCAAAAGTACCTCGCAGACAAATGAGAATGTAAGTAAACTTTTGAAAATATGGAGTTTCGTCTCTTTCTTTTTAATTTTGTGTTAATTTATATTAGAAAAATCTGTAGCTATAACTCGCATGGAAATTACCCATTGTACATTTATTTCCAGTAATATTCTGATTTACAGCAGCTGTAAATAAAAAAAATTAATTTTTTCTATGATTAGTTTCTTACATATTTATGTTATTAAAGAATTCCAAATAATTTTACATGATTATTCAGTAATTACCAATGGATCCTTATGAGATTTGTATCCTGATTATAAGTTTTGGAATGATAATAATTGGAACATGTTAAAGTAGTCTTTGCAGTCTAAATAAATTTCTAATACTTTGAATTTATGTTTTGTGTGTGTCATAGATTATTGCCACATTCTATAGTAACATCGAATGATGAAGTGGCCCTATTTGTTTGCGACTTGGAAAGAGGAAGAAAAAAAGATTACGAGCCAACAGTAGAACATTATAAGAACATTCTCATTGAGCAAGGATGTACTTGCATAAATGAAATAATACCTATGAATCGTGTAAAAACAGAATTCGATCAATTTGAGTTGAAGAAGAAACTAGCTGCCAGTTATGATTACTTTCTCGTTGACAGTCGTATTGCAGGTCACTTGTCTCATTTATTGGGTAAAGAATTCTTCAAAAAACGGAAATTACCAACCTCTGTCAGAATGAATAACAAAGACTTGAAGCATGAAATTGAACATGCTTTAAGAAAAACCAGCATGCAGATTCATTCTAATGGTGACTCTCATATAGTGCAAGTAGGAAACACATTAATGCAGGAAAATGAAATTTTGGAAAATATACTGGCTACTTGTAAAAATTTGTCTAAGAATTATCCTGGTGGTTGGGCAAACATACGTTCTCTTCGATTGAAAGGAGCTACCACTATAGGATTGCCATTTTACATAACTCTGAGTAAGTTACTGTGTATCATTGGATTATTTCATCTGTTATTCAATATAAACTATCTCTTTAAACAGATGTATGTTTGTGTATTTCAGGGAATAAAAATGCAGTAAAACTAACAGTTGTAAAACCTAAGAGACCAAATGCTTACCGCGATGTAAAGGGTGAGTTATCTACTTTTGTAAGGGACACCAATATCACAGTCAAGCCAGATGGTGAAGTTATTGTTGAACGAACTATGCAGAGAAGAACCTCAAGCAAATTGAAGTGATATTTTTATAGGAATATTTTACTATTATTTGTTTTGTACGTAATTCGGACAATTACAAAAAATTACAAAAATAATCAGCTGTTGTATACCTTTGTTATGTTTTGCATGTACCATAAACATAATATAACATAATATTCCTTGTATGACATTTATTTTCACTACTTCCACATTATCTCATAAATATGCCAACAAAAGAATACCTTCTCGACATGAACGATTAGTATAAAATAGTATATTAATTTATAATGGTATATTAAATAAAATATAAATAATATACTATACTAATATATAAATAACATAATATATTGATTATATATATAAAATTGTATTTGTGAATTTATATTTTGATATTTGTTAATTGGTGTCTGCTAATGTTCTTATCTGTGATATATTTGGGAAATATTTCTACACCTTACTTATATTTTTCCTTTTTTCTATTAATAATGTAGAACAAATCGAGTTTATTTATTATGAACATTGAAAAAAAATAATAGTTATAAATTGATATTGACTTCTTATAAAAGATCAGTGAGATATATGATGTTAGTATGCATATAGTGCACTTATCAAATGAAATTAAAAAAGAAAATAGAAAATTTGAAATAGTAATTATAAATATAATATGATATCTTTGTATTTATATTGAAATAATTATTGATTTTGTGCAACTCTATAAAATATAAACAGCAAATAAATAGTTTTCATGTATATTTTATTAATAATTTTACAATATATCTGTCACATTTCTATGTTTTGATGTTTTTCCAATCTTGATGACACGTAATATTTAAAAAGAAATAAGTATTATATGTATTTTCTCTAAATAAACGTGTGTACGCCTGATATTTTAATATTAATCCGATATAGAAACTTTTTTTAACAACATTTTGAAAAATAAACAAATCAAAAATTGTTATGATATTTTTAATTAGTGCTTACTGCCAATATTAATATTGTATTTGTTCATTCACAAAAAACATCTTCAACTTCTTACTAAGGTTTACGTTTATATGAATTACTATACATAGGAGTAAATCATCAAATCGTGAACATGACGAAACAATTTCCTTCATACATCAGCAAAATAGAGAGATTACAAAATTGTTTTCAACGCTCAGAAAATTGTTTGTAGAGTATACCATGTTCCATTGTACTATAAACATACACAAATACTCGAGACAGAGTGTAGATCTTCAATTCGAACATCATTTAAAATAATTTGAGCATTGTTGTAGAAATATTAATATGTTTTTCGTATTTTTTGGCGATTTTTTATATTTGCGTTGCTCTTTATGCTGATATATATATATATATGATTTGAGTTTTATGATGTATGTAGAATAGTACAAAGGAGATTATATATATAAGTTACATTTCTCAACTTTAGCTTCTCTTGGCCTTTTAATTATTGCACTTCGACTTACTGTTTTGACACACACATACACGTTGTATATTGAGCTTCCGGTCTTAATATTTATAATATGAACATGTAATCTATATATGCAACATATAGATTTGCAACAGTTTAACAAGGTTCAACGAGTTTACACGTTAAACACTTAAAACATTAACTGTTGGCACATCGAATCAAACTTCGTGTGATTATACTGTTCAATGTTTTTCTATTTCCATCACAAACACTTCCATCACGATTACTAGGGAACTCTTATTCGAAACTTATTATATAACAATAAAATATTGACTTTAAATTGCTGTCAGAGTGATATGTACATAATAGACACATAACTAAACATTCAGAAAAAATGGATATGTATGTTTACGTATAGATCATGTACATTCAGATATGTAACTTTATATTTTCGCATTTGTGCACACAGAAGTACCTGCGAATTACTTTAATTGAGTCATATTTCTTGGTATTATGCGTTTTTTTTGTTTTACTGTTGCCTTCCGCTACGAACTTAAACATGGCACAGCCACAATATCAAATAGCATTTATACTAGTCTTTTATCGAGACAAAATTAAAATGAGATGTCATCTACTTCTCTTTTGGTTATCTTTTTTGGCATTTGCAAAAAATTAAACCTTAGCGCATATAATTACTATAGTTTAATACTTAATTATGCTTATCTGTAACGAATTATTATTGTTAATAACAATAACATTAATATTAATATTAATTGTAATGCTGACAATACAATAAAATCGAAAGAAGTGTGTTTAGTCCCCCATAGTGATTCAACATACTTCTTCAAGAGTTGGATAAAATTGTGTGTGATCTCAAATTTTATACATACATGTACACATATAAAATTTAAGATATATATTATATACAGTATATATTGGCCACTGCTATATACTGAATCTTAATATTAATATTAATATTAATAACAAGTAATTGTCTTTAACAATTTGTACTAATGGGTCCGCTTTAGGATTACGTTCGTCTGACTTTTTTGTGCACTGAATCTACTCGACCAAAATAAATAAAACGAACGAAAGCAACACGTACTTCATTTTGAAAAACTTCGTCTCATACATACCTACACATTACTACGCTAAATAGATTAGGAACTAAAGCGAGATGAGCGATATGTGTATATTAAAGGAATTATTCATTATGTGAAAGATATGCATATTGTAACAATACATTCGACATGCATTCGACACATATTCGTGTACAGTGAGGAGATGAACAAAATTGATCCTTTGCATTTGTGATGTTTAAACGTGAAGAATATAGCTCGATGAGTCTTCATGTAAAAATAGACTTCTCTTGGCAGAAGAAAAGGACCTATTGGCTCGTACTGTACAGGCGATCGATATGGTAAGCATCAATGTACTCATGTCGAGATCACTTCATCACATAGTCTACCTATATGCGGAGACACATACAGATGTTGCACTGTTTCGCGCGCCGCAGCAATTTTTTATGGTGCGATCCTCGCTGCGGACGCGGCGATTTCTGCTGATACTTAGAGTATAATGCTGGTCTCTTTGATATCGTTATAAATATACAATTTTGTCTTTATGTCTTAATAGTATTGCGAGATGGTTAGAACACTTTTTCTAAATCAGCCTTTGTCTCATTAAACGCATTTTGTCTGAGTACATCGTCGCTTTCGGATTGTATCGGTCAAATCGCGGTATTATATTGTTGTGATATGCACGGCTGAACGATGTCGCTTTACTTTCTTTTTCCTTAATCGGTCCTTAGATTCTCAGAATACTGTTTTACAACTATTGAAAACATGAGGACAATACCTTCGTGCGATGACAGCGTAAGGTACATTGCTGTCCACTCGTACCTGTTCCGCTTTGCTCAACTTGTTCCACACGTGAATTGCTTTCGCTTTGTTTAATATCTTCATCGTCTCATTACTGTTTTTGACTTCGAAATAATTCTTCCATTTCTTATAGTGGACAGGGTAGAAAATTGACGGTGGGAAAACAGTAAAACTGTGGCAGCGGGCAGTCGTCATATCGCGTGCCTGCAAAGCAAAAGATGAAAGAGTGATTAATTTTTAATTTTTAACATTGTCCTGTTTTTCTTTCTTAATAAATACATAGAAAAGGTTACATTTCGGATCTTTTTCACTTCGATTATAAAGAGCGAAATCTTTAAGACGACTTACAGACGACTCAGAATTTCATTCTTCTCTCTTATAACATATCTTAAAATAGAAAAATATATATCGGACTTTTCTGTAATCTTTTCTATATAATTATCTTTTTCTTCTTTTTATATCCTTAGTAATTAAACTTCTCTAATTAATCATTTCTCATAACACGAACACAACGGCTTAGTAGCAACGATAGCTGTTCCCGGTGCAGCATATAAAATGAAGAATACCGCATAGAAATCAATCGCGTTATTCCTTAGTAACGGAAGTTTCCTCCGCAAAGCCATACTGTATATTCATAATACCGTAGTGAGTTATAGTGAGAAAAATTCGATGTCGCTCACAATGCTTTTTCGGCCGCTTGAATCGCGCCGAGAATGAAATAGAGTCTTTAATCTCTCGTTAAAAGTTCAATTGACCATATCCGCCGAACGAATCTGGTGAATTCAATTTGACAAATGAGCTCTTTACTGATAAACGGATGCAACTTTGTTTTCTATGCGTCACCACGTCTTGCTTGTTTAAGTTGTTAAGCGATGTAAACATATAGTTCCGAACGCTATGACATAATGTGCGCGTGTAAACAGTATTAACATTGAAATATTGTGTTGTATCGTTTTCCTGGCAGGTAAATAACTCGAGAATTCTCATTCTCCAATAATAACCCATACAGCATAAAAGTGTTGCGAGAGAGAGAGAGAGAGAGAGAGAGAGAGAGAGAGAGAGAGAGAGAGAGAGAGAGAGAGAGAGAGAGAGAGAGAGGAAACGTTGCATTACGCATCACGCTGTAACATTATAATATCGCATTACAATTGGAATAATTTGGACATAAATAAAAGCGACTCAATGAGAAATATATGAGTTGTCTCTAACATGTACTTATTTCAGATTTAATATTTTATTTTATTTTTTAGATTTTACATTTTATTTCTGCAAAAAAGATTATTTCGGCGAAATATTGTAATTGCATGTCTCTGCAATATTACATTGCGATTTGCAATGTTGCAACCTTCTCGCAATATAACTAGAAACTTTTCCGCTGTATGGAGGAATTCATTCATTGCTTCATAAATGATCTTCGACGCTACCTGACTTGCAATTATTTCGGAAATGCGGAAGTAAGCATTTACCAGACTTTCTTTGCCTTCCCTTGCGCGGCTGACACTTACATATTTCGTGGCACAAAATTTCTGCAACGTCCTCGTGATAACCCCGGGCCCATTATTTCCCCACAAGTCGCCACGAAAATTTTTCTTCAGATCTCGCACACAAGCGTCGGCGATGCGCCGACCCAGTTCCGACATGTCGAAACCGATCACGCCGGCAGCAACGTCGTCCCAATCCTCGGCACCAGCGAAGTTGGTCAGATCTTCCAGCGAGGTGGTGACCACCACATCCAGATCGAGGTATATGCCGCCATACTTCCATAGAGTTAAGTATCGCAATACGTCCGACATGTGGCTGTTGGGCCACCGGCTCTTCTTCAGCGCGCCCCTGGCGTACCATGCTTCCAACGGCGTGTTCTTCACGTAGTTGTCTGGTTGAATGTGCCGGATCTTAATGTTACGATAATTGAGCAGATGCTTGACGATCTCCCGGGTGTTGTTCGAAAATTCAGACTTGCTGACGAACAACAGGTACACGGTCATGGAAGGATTCATCCGCGCTGCAGATTCCACGGCACAGGCTTGCCGAGCATTTAACATGAGACCTTCTTCGCCAAAACAGGAAGTCTCGTGGAAAAAGATGTTCCGGCCAGGTTTCAATTTGTCCACGTCTAAAGCATAAAGCGAGAAGATGTTACCAGACTGCAAATTTTTCTTCTCTTTTCATATTTCCTATCATTAAAAAAACGTCAAGAACGAATGTTTGAATAATCCGTTTTTTATTTAATATTGGATAAAAATAAAGATTTTGTCGCAGTTATACAAAGATCAGCAAATTGGTCATTAATTCGATTGATCCGAACAAAGGAACAGCTACAGAGCAATAAGATTAAAAGTGAAATAATCCGAATATCCGATAAACCGGATTTGCGAATTCCTTAAAACCAAACAACTTTCGTCTGAAATATTTTTTTGAATAATGCATTTCTTTCGAAATGTCTCGGCACATATATTAGGTGAGCATTGTTTTCCTTGTATATTCAGCTTTTGAGTATCTATTATCTATTACCTATATTATCAGTGGATATTCGTATCCCTGAATTCATAAGCGAATTCCATCTGCTTGGGTATCTTATACAGATATCCGAATTTATCAACCACTTTTAGATAAGATATATCCAATTCAAAGTTTTATCATACGTCGTGTATTCCTACACACTCGATTTCGATAAGGTTTGAACAGTTTTTTTCGACGTAGTTCAGAACGCAGCAGATATTCAACGGGAGAATTAGCTTTTGTATTAATTATATTGTAATTATCAGGAGGTAAAGTCGCACACGCGCGTTCTGAACTGCATCAAGAGGAAAGCGTTCAAATTCGTGATGAAGAACCGAATATACAATTATAAGTTTATTTCTTGACAGTGATTGTTAATTCCTTTATATATTTTAGATTTTTTTATGGTAATTATTAATTCTTCAATATGTTAATTTTTTAATATATTGACGTTAATGGTCATTGCTGTTTTTTTAACAGTAATTATTCAGACAGCATAAATCCCCAAGGGACGTCCTGAGAATACCGCGGGAATGTCCTTAGGACGTCCTCTGAATGTTCCATAGACGTCCATTGGAGACCTATGCTGTCTGGATAAACACGGAAGGAACATTCGCGCAAAATACCGTACTTGATTCTGGCTCGAAGTCACGGATGCCTTCCGCGGTTGAAGCTTCATTATAACATCTAGTATTGTAGGCCCTGGCATCGAGGAAAGGTATTCTTTGGCGAACCTCCTCGGTCGAGACTATGATGTATACGAAGAACAAACTGGCCAGGATGATGCCGAATAATAATCTCCTCTTCATCTTCTTATAGCTCCTTATTTGGTTACGTTGCTAAAGTAACGCCACACCGGTTTGTCATGATATATTTCAGATATGGTGTTATCTATGGGAAGTGTGTGTAAGCATCTTCTTCTGCGGTCGTCTGCCGTTATGTGTGTGCAACTCCTTTGTAAATAAGAATAGAATAGAAGAATTAATAAAGTAACTTGCGAATATTTAAGCTATGGAAAATAATAATGTGACAATGCATGCGACGAATGTTCCTTCAAACTTGCCACATGCACGATGAAATTATCCTTCCATATCAAATCGTCCCGTATTCTAATTATTAATATTAATATTAATATTAATATTAATATAATACACTATTATCCTTTCCCAGTTATTAAGATAGATATTATTCGATTTCTCTTAAGAAGAAAAATTTAAAATGTGGCGATAAAAAAGAATACAAGATTAAATTAACAGAGTTTCACCAGCTACTCCAAACGTATTTACAAATAATGCTTGTTTTATGCATTAAAAAACATAAACAGTGGAAAATATTACTGAATAAATTACTGCAAAAGTAATAGAAAACGATAACCGCACGAGTAACAAATAACGTTATCTTCGATATCATATGAGAAAAAATCTATAAAACACTTTCGTACGAAAAAATCGCGGTATATCGTTTGAAAATTTGCTATATATAATTCGTCGCACTTGTCGCATGTATATTCATAGGAATTTTTCAAACACATCAGCTCTCTATATTAAGTGAGACGAATGTTTGCCGAAGTGATTCACTGAAGTGATTGCATAAAGCGCGCGATCACGCACAGTGTACGTAGATAAGATTTTTTAATCATGTCTAAATGATCTAGCCTCGCCATACAAAATGTTGGATAATTCATGCGATGCAACTGATTATTACGCACATGTGAACATCATTGCATATTACGTGTCGCATATCAAGAGATTCTCTATTGTATGGGCGTAGGAAAATTTACGGGAAAGCATTACGAACAGAATCATCTATTTTCCGGCGGTCAAATGTCAATTTGTTTTCCGGGCGGTCCAGTGTCAATTTGTTTTCTGGGCGGTCAAATATTGCATACAAGCTTCGCATACTGAAGATTTTATCAGTAACAACATATCGCACAAGTAGCAAACCAACAACGTTAAAATCTTCTGACTATTATATATATATATATATATATCCTTTTTATAATAAAATAAAAATATATATTTTTTTTTTTTATTTAAAACGAAAGGATCTGGGCGCAGAACTAGAATGTGTTCGGAGGAGACACTATAAGCAGCGACACTGTATCGGTATGTCGTAATTATTATTTTATCATTCATGTATCATTCAATAGACAATTGTCCATTGCATACTTGAATAATAGTAAAATAATAAATACGATGTTTAAATAAATTTTCAGGATATTAAAACCGAGGAGGAACTTACACTGCGGAAACGACGCTAACACTACGCTATTACTGTTCGCTACTGTACTATTGGCTCCAAACGAATAGTGGCAGCGTTTGCGTTGGTAACGGCCCACAAACATACAGTAAACATAAACTAAAACTAACATTACGTCACAATAACGTTGTAATTTCCCACTCAACAACGTAATATAATATATTGTATATAATGTAAATGTAATGTAAATTGCACATAATGTGCAATATATAATGCATTATAACATGTGTTGTATCTAACAGTTAAATCACTGAGTGGATTATAACATTGACGTCATGTGACTGTCAGTTGATGTTTATTGGGGCTAATAACGTCTGCCCGAACACACATCCTAGTAGAATCCTGGCGAAGTTGTGCGCGCGATAATCCTCCCTTGCGGGAAATCCGCCTGGACTCCCAAGACACCGAAAGACGTCCCGTCTCCGTCTCCGTCGGAATCCACTATCACACTGCACTGTCACGAATTTTCGACTGTCAAGCGAGTCGCGCTCGCGATAAGAATACAACTACTTCGAGATAAGACCAAATCTGAAGACCATAGTCTGAAAATATTCGAGTATATGGAACACGAACTCGAAACTCGAATATTTTCAGACGTATCAACCGGTAGAATCCTGCCTGCGTTTCTAATACAGCTCAGCCGCCGACTGGCGAACAAGCTGTTACCGCAATCAATTAGTCAATTCAGCTAGACGATAGTACTTATCGTATATCGTCGGCGAGTGCATCGTATTATTTGCATCATTGCAAAGACCTCGAGATCATACAAACGCCATTGGTTATCTTTCACTTCCCGGTCGAGCCTTGCAACGTGGCTGGATACGACTCGAATCCGCGTCTACCTGATAGCCCTGACAGGATCTACCCGGGACGCTCAGTGCGAGTAGCGAGCGGTGAGGCCGAAAGTAGCTGACATGTTAAGCAACAATGATATAGCGGATCAACAAAAACAGGATCGTTCGATCGGATGAGCGCCACGACGCGCCAATACCTCGGCGCGATTCATTCGCTCGGTGAACGCTCTAATTGCAGGCATTAACGGCACTGCCGATGCCACACATCGCAATATTTTCCAAAGCGCTCGACATACCGCGCCTCTCTTCCACCCTTATTGATCGTCCCGCCGATAGAGCTGACGTGGTTCGATGGATTTGGTGGAGGAGCACGTTAGTTGCGACGGTACCGCCGACCACGTAGCGTGCACACCTTTTCCGGCATTTTCTTGCGACTAGGATGAGATGATTCTCGTTGCTAGACAGTAGCCAAATATCACCCCTCCGCACCGGTCGTACGGTGTAATCAAATATATACCACCGACGCATGCGTGATGACGAAGATGCGACGTCGAAGCCGACGACGTCGATGTACCGTCGCGGCGACCTGAACGGGTTATATTTTTGCACCGTCTTCTTGTGACCTCGTGCAAATATCCCGTCCGTGTAATTCGCGGCACTGATCATCAATACAAACACATCCGGCGGAAAGACAAGCGCATTCTATTCAATATGGTAACGACGCGCAAAATCTATACTCGCTCGGGCCTAATTCGTTCGCTTCGCTTAAAACGCGGACTCGCAAGTTTCGTCTTCGTCTGTCTGTTTTTCTCTTTTCTAACGCCTAAAAAGGAAAGTAATTTTTCGGTGACACACTGAGCGACTTTTATTATCGGTTACAATTGCTAATATGCATACCGTTAATTCTTGCCTTCGTGTTGTACGTGCTTATGATACTGCTCTATATCTCCGAAAGCTGTGCAGAAGCAAGATCATTGTTTCTGCAAATCTTCCTAAGTAAAACGTGCAACAGTGATATGTATCTATCAGTGGATCATTTAGTAACATTAAACGGGAGAGATATTCATCTTTTTTGCGTCCTCCATCAGCTTCTGCATTAGAGCGGTCCATTCGTCCGGGCGGTTCTCAGTGTACCATCCGATTACCTTCTCGAGATTTTGCTTCTGTACTTCGGTGCATTTGCGACATTTCGTTGCAAACGCTTCTGCAGCGTGTTCTATAAAACGTAAAATCCTTAATCATCTGAATGTTCCGATGTAAATTTTTTTTCTTTCTATTTCAGTAACCGACGGAAAAATATGACGCAGCTACTTCTGGTAACGATGTAAAAGAATTATTATTACCAAAACTTCCAGATATCTTATTGTAGCAACACTAAAAGTATTAAACATATCAAGACAAAACTATCATTTGAGTAGTTTCAAAAGAAAATAATTACATATTACATAATTACATATTACATAATTACATATTACATATTACATAATTACAAGTTTCAAAGGAAAATAATTACAGTAGATTTTGGTTTTTATCGTCATGCATAGTCAAATATAATTAAGTATGTTCACATGAAAGAAAATGCTGTTGTATAATTATTGGGTTCTTCGATAAGTTCATAAGAATTTTTACGAGAAATTTGAAACCGATAACTTCATAGTCAGGCATAACGTTATCTTTTTTCGTTTTTTTATGAGATCCGATCGGTCAAAATAAATTAATAATTATTTACATCATTATATATAATTTATATATAAAATTGCATATGATTTTATATAATTATACAAATTCTTTCCACTTGATCCGTCACTGTTGAAAACGTACAGAAAAATTCAAACACATGAACTATATCGTTCACGCAATTGACAGATTGTATTCGGAAACAAAATCGTCTATATAATCAAAACTCACACAGAGTGGAAATATCACATACCTTTCATGTATTTCTGGTCGTCAGTAACGCAGGGGCCGGTGTCCATGATACAGTTGTAATATTGATTCCGAAGCTCGTCATTGGGCAAGATATCGTCGGGATTGATGTGATCAAACATATCTGAATACAATTCCTCCGCGACGACAGCCGCCAACACAGCCAAGGCTGCCAAGCAGAATGCTGATTTACCCATATTTTTGACCGCTGTCAGAAATGCGTGCGACAAAACTGTATGTTTGATTAAACTCGTCGACTCTTTTATAGCTCGCGCTCACCCTTGACGTGGATCTCTCCTTACGTAAATAATGTGTAAATAGTCGTTACACGTCAAACTGGATGGTAATTGCACGTGCTGTTGCAGGATGAGCGAAAGGCTTAATCCTGCTAGAGAATTAATTAACGAACTTATGATGTGACATTGTCAGGAAGAAACGAGCGTATGTATGTCATTTCGCTTGTATAAAGTAATAATTAGTGAGGCTCATACAAACTTATTGTTGGTTTAAAGAACGATCCGCCTTCGAGAACTGCAGAAGCGTCCTGAGCGACGCTCGTGACAACGACGACGTTGGATTTAAAAAACTATTTTTTCATAAGTTTATTTGATCAAATAAAATGTTAGTTATTTCAACTATTATAAATTTATATACTCACAAATTTATTGTAAGTTTATTATAAGTATTAAATTTATTGAAAATATCCTAATAAGTTATCCTAATAAATGTTTACATCAAGAATGTTAAATTAAAATTTAGTTTCTTTTTTTCTATAGAGTATCTCAGTTTCATAATATTCTTGAAAAGAAAATATAAAATTTTCTTTCAAGTATATGATAATGAATTTTTCTAAAACTTATAATGAATATATTCAAAGCAAGCCCATCAGGAAGAAAATATTCTTTATTAAAACCATCTTGTACAAAAACAAGATTATTGCTTCTATAAATCTTCTTAAGCAACATGGACGACAGTAATACGTATCTATCAGTGGATCATTTAGTAATATTAAATCGGAGTGATATTCAGCTTTTTCACTTCTTCCATCAGCTTCTGAATTGGAGCATTCCATTCGACCGGGAGGTTCGTGTATTCTATACTATTATACAATTTATTATACAAATATTATTCGACTATCTTCTCGAGATTTTTTTCTGTATTTCCATGCATCTGTGGCATTTCGTTACAAGCACTCCTGCGACATGTTCTATAAAACATAAAATTCTTAATCATCTGAATGTTCCAACATAAATTATTTTTCTTTCTATTTCAATAACTGAAATATGGCGCAGTTACTTCTAGTAACGATGTAAAAGAACTATCATTGCCAAAACTTCCACATGTTTTATTGTACAACAACCAACCAAAAATGCTAAATATATCGATAAAAAATATCGTTTGAGTAGAAAAAATTAATTACATGTAGATTTTGGTTTTTATCGTCATGTATAAACCAATAAAATTAAATATATTCACATGAAAGAAAATGCTGTTGTACAATTATTGGGTTCTTCAATAAGTTCATAAAAATTTTTACGAGAAACTTGAAACCGATAACTCCATAGTGTCAGGCATAACTTTATCATTTTCATTTTTCATGAGCTCCTATTGTCAAAATAAATTAATGATTTTATATGATTATATATAATTTATCTATAAAAGTACATATATATATATATACACACGAGGGCGGTCCGATAAGTACTTAGCCTCACTGCCCGATGGCGCCACTATCGCAAGAGAAATTTACTATCGTGTAGTACATTCTCGTAGACGGCTACTGTCGAAATTTCAGCCGAATCGGACTCGTAGTTTTGTTTTGACCGCGTGTGGAAGCGGGTATGTCCGCGGATTTTAGAAAAATGGAAAAAGAGCAATATCGGTCGGTGATTCGATTCTTGTTTTTGGAAGGGAAATCGCGCAGCGAAATCAAAGAGCGCTTGGATGCTGTGTACGGTGACTCTTCTCCTTCGATGGCGACCGTCAAAAATTAGTTTAACGAGTTTCAACGTGGTCGCACGTCGGTTTTTGATGAGCCAAGCCCAGGTGCCCCGAAAACGGCTACCACGGAGGATAACATGACAAAAATCCACGATCTCGTATTGGCAGACCGCCGATTGAAGGTGCGCGAGATAGCTGAGACAGTAGGCATCTCAAAAGACCGCGTGGGTCATATCCTGCATGAAATTTTGGGCATGAGAAAGCTGTCGGCGCGATGGGTGCCGCGTTTGCTCACTCCGGGCAACAAGCGCAACCGTGAGACCACTTCAGAGCAGTGTTTGACGCTGTTTAAGCGCAATCCGAAGGAGTTTCTGCGTCGTTTCGTGACCGTCGACGAAACATGGATCCACTGGTACACACCAGAGACCAAGGAACAGTCGAAACAGTGGACTTCATCCGGCGAACGAGCTCCGAAGAAGGCGAAGACTGTCCTATCGGCCGGAAAGGTGATGGCCACCGTTTTCTGGGATTCACAAGGTGTGATCTACATCGACTACTTGGAGGATAAAGGACAAAACGGTCACAGGGCTGTACTATGCCGAATTATTGGGCCGATTCGACGCCGAATTGCAGAAAAAACGGCCCCATTTGGCGAAGAAAAAAGTGCTCTTCCACCATGACAACGCACCGGCTCACACCTCCGCTCTCGCCACGGTCAAATTGGTCGAATTGGGCTACGAACTGCTGCCCCATCCACCGTATTCTCCAGATTTGGCCCCGTGCGACTTCTTTTTGTTTCCAAACTTGAAAAAGTCACTCGCCGGACAGAAATTTGAGTCGAATGAGGAGGTCATCGCCGCCACGGAGGCCTACTTTGCAGACCTCGAGAAAACGTATTTTTCAGACGGGTTAAAGAAGTTGAAGCATCGCTGGGTCAAATATATCGAGCTAAAAGGAGACTATGTTGAGAAATAAATCGCCACTTTTCCAAAATTTTCGTTTTTCTTTTGTAGGCTAAGTACTTATCGGATCACCCTCGTATATGATTTTATATAATACAAATCCTTTCTGCTTGGTCCGTCATTGTTGAAAACGTGAAACAAAATTTAAACACGTGAACTATATTGTTCATGCAATTAACGGATTGTATTAGGAAGCGAAATCGTCTACACAATCGAAACTTATACAGAATGGAAATATCACATATTTATCATGATTTCCTTAATGATAGGTGAGCAGGCGTCGTGTATGACACAGTCGTGAATGCGTTCCCGAACTTGCTCAAGTTTCAAGGTAGGGGCAATCATAAAGTCATTAATCTCATCTAAATACTCTTCCTCCGCGATGACAACAACTAACATAGCCAAGAAGGCTGCCAAGCAAAATGCCGACCTACCCATATTATTGACCGCTGTTAGGAATTCGTGCGATAAAACTATATGTTTCATTAAACTCGTCATCTCTTTTAGGACTCGCATTCACCCTTGGCGTGCATATCTTCTTACGTAAATAATGTGTAAATTGTTACATGTTAAACCGATGGAAATTCCACGTGCTGTCGCAAGATGAGCGGAAGACTTAACTCTGCAAGAGAATTGACAAACTTATGACGTGGCATTGTCAGCAAGAGACGAGCGTGCGTATGTCATTTCGCTTGTATAAAATAAAAATAAAATAATAATTAATGAGGGTTATACAAACTTACTATTAGTTTAAAGAATGATCTGTCTTCGAGAACTGCAGTTAAAATTATTAGTAAAAAAAGATTGAGACGATTCATAGCGCGCTTGATGGCGCGATTCCGTAGAAAATGGCTGTGCGATTGTCTCTTAGCAGTATTCAGTATCAAATAATAGCAGAAGGCGAAGAAAAGTGGTGTATAGATAATTATTTGTCGCAACATTCGATGCTCATCGCTGCTAATTAGCAAAAATTAGAAAGATATAACGCCATTGAAACATCAAATGTCCAATCTTTCCATTTAAATCAATTTTAGTTGTATACATTACTAATAGCCTTATATATATATTATTAAGTCATGTGAATTTACTTTCATGATAAGATTATTTGGTCTCTATTAATTGTAACGTTTAGCTTCTTTTGTCTATATAGTGTCAAACGTAAATGTGCAAATAAAAATTGCACAGACGTGATGGTTCTCCATTCGACAGCTATAAAAAGCTGTAAGAAAGGGAAAAGAGAAAGCCTGCAGTTGCTTTAACCGCATATTGTACAAAGAAGAATAAGCATTGATATCTTCTGCTGACATACTTATAACACAAGAAAAACTGAACGACAATATGTTATAATAAGCTACAGAATATATTTGAACAAAACAGTTACAATATATTAATCCTTATATCAATATAAAAAACCAATATAAACCAATAACCTGTAAACCAATATAAATAACAATAAACTAATATAAATCTTCGCTCGACTATCTTAACAAAGAATAATTGATTGCTCGACCATCTATCGGCGCAGTTACCAGAACGGACGGCTACATGAAAACTTAGCGAGAATCAAATATTTCGACTCTACGACGCTTAATTCGGCAAAAGGCGCGGAGGCTCTTCTCCTCTCCGATTTTAATCTTTGTTTCTCTCTCTTTCCGGATGTTCCTGCCGCTATTTGTCAGGTTTCCAGTAACGCGTCTGTTTAGTGCTGCATTCTATAGTCTTGATCTTATCGTTTCTCCGAAATCTGTACAAAAGCAAAGTAATTGCTTTTACAAATCTTCCCAAGTAAAACATGCGACAGTGATATGAATCCATCAGTGGATCATTCAATGTTATTAAATAATCCATTGTTGAGTGATATTTACCATTTTTCTTTTTCCTCCTCCCTGGCTTCGAACAGATGCTGTAGTTTCTCATAATCTCTCATTACCAACTCTTGAATTTCTTTCTTCCTTCGTTTCCATTTATGCATTTGGGACAGTCTATTACATGCCTTCCCAGGACCTCACCTATAAAACGTAAAATCCTTAATCATCTGAATGTTCCAATATAAATTTTTTTTCTTTCTATTTCAATAACTGACGGAAATATAGCGCAGTTACTAGTAACGATGTAAAAGAATTATCATTGCCAAAACTGCCAAGTGTTTTATTGTACAACAACCAAGCAAAAATACTAAATATATCGACAAAAAATATCATTTGAGTAGAAAAAATAATTATGTGTCGATTTTGGTTTCTATCGTCGTGTATAATCAAGTATAATTAAGTATATTCACATGAAAGAAAATGCTGTTGTACAATTATTGAGTTCTTCAATAAGTTCATAAGAATTTTTACGAGAAACTTGAACCCGATAACTCCATAGTGTCAGGCATAACTTTATCTGTCTTATTTTTCATGAGCTCCTATCGTCAAAATAAATTAATGATTTTATATGATTATATTTAATTTATCTATAAAAGAACATATGATTTTATATAATACAAATCCTTTCTGCTTGGTCCGTCATTGTTGAAAACTGTGAAACAAAATTCAAACACGTGAACTATGTATATTGCTCACACAATTAACAGATTTTATTTGGAAGCAAAATCGTCTACACAATCGAAACTCATACAAAGTGAAAATGTCATATACGTTTGAAGTATTTTAGATCTTCAGTTAGTTACGTAAGAGACTCGATGAAACAAAGGTAATATTAATTCCGAAACTCGTCGTTGATCAAGACATGATCGATATCGATATGATCAAACGCATCTGAATACAATTTCTCCGTGATAACGACCGCCAATACAGCCAAGAAGGCTGCCAAGCAAAATGTCGATCTACCTGTATTTTTGACCGCTATCAGGAATTCGTGCGACAAATCTATATGTTTCATTAAACTCGTTGTCTCTTCTATAACTAGCGCTTAGCCTTAACGTGGATATCTCCTTATGTAAATAATGTGTAAATTGTTATATGTCAAACCGATAGAAATTCCACGTGCTGTCGCAAGATAAGCGGAAGGCTTAACTCTGTAAGAGAATTAACGAACTTATGACGTAACATTGTCGGGAAGAGACGAGCGTGCATATGTCATTTCACTTGTATAAAGTAATAATAAAGTAACAATTAGTGAGGGTCATACAGACTTACTGTTAGTTGCAAGAACGATCTGTCTTCGAGAACTGCAAGAGCGTGGTGAGCAACATTTGTGACAACGACGACAACGTTGGAATTAAGAAGCTACTTTTCATACTTTTCATTTACTTGATAAAATAAAATATTAGTTGTTTCAACTATTATAAATTTATATACTCATGAATTTATTGCAAGTTTATTATAAGTATTAAATTTATTCAAAATATATTTTAAATCCTAATAAGTTTAATACTTGTATCACAAGAATTAAAACAACAAATTTAGTTTCTTTTTGTTTTCTATATGGAATATCTTAATTTAATAATATTCTTAAACAAAGAATGTAAATTTTTCTTTCAAGTACATGATAATGAGTTTTCTTAAAACTCGCAATAAGTATATTTAAAGTAAGCGAAAGTATCAACAAGAAAATATTCTTCATTGGAAATAACCTTTGGTTAAAATCAGAAAAGTAAACCGAGTAATCGTTTCTTCCAACGGTAGAATATTTTTCTGTGTGTAACGTGCGCTCGCATTTTGTACGTGCACAAAAATTACGTCACTTTACCAGGTCTGTAAATATGAAACCGGAATTTGCCCATAGATGGCCCTAGCTGTCAATGTAGTTACCGTCAAACCGCGTCATTGGCGCCATTTCCATTTGTTGACATCTGACAAAGATTTTCAACTCACAACAATACAAGTTTCATACAACAGCATAGTTTGTAATAGCGTTGAACATGTCGAATTTTGTGCGTGGAAGCTACGATTTGCGGACAGCATTGATTTTCTGTTACCATTTGAAGAAAACTGCTGCAGAATCGCATCGAATACTTGTCGAAGCTTACGGTGAGCATGCTCTTGGTAAATCACAGTGCTTTGAATGGTTTAAAAAATTCAAACGTGGCGATTTTGACGTGAGAAACGAAGAACGTGGAAGACCACCGAAAAAGTTTGAAGACAGCGAATTGCAAGCATTGTTGGATGAGGATGACGCTCAAACGCAACAATAACTCGTGGATCAATTAAATGTGACACAAGAAGCCGTCTCCATACGTTTGAAAGCCATGGGAAAGATCCAGAAGATGGGAAAATGGGTTCCACATGAACTGAATGAAAGACAGCAGGAAAACCGAAAAACCACTTGCGAAATGCTGCTCGCCAGGTACAAAAGAAAGTCATTTCTCCATCGAATTGTGACTGGCGATGAAAAGTGGATATATTTTGAGAATCCTAAGCGTAAAAGATCATGGGTAACTCCAGGCGAACCATCGACATCGACTGCAAGGTCAAATCGCTATGGACGGAAGACAATGCTCTATGTTTGGTGGGATCAGAAGGGTGTGATCTATTATAAGCTGCTAAAACCTGGCGAAGCCGTTAATACTGAACGCTACCGACAACAAATGATCGATTTGAATCAAGCTTTGCGTGAAAAACGACCAGAATATCAAAAAAGGCAAACACAAAGTGATTTTGCTTCATGATAATGCACCATCGCACCATCGCACTATCGCACACAGTAAAACTGGTCAAGGAAACGATTGAGGCGTTTAGTTGAGAAATACTTTCGCATGCGTCTTACTCACCAGACTTGGCTCCGTCCAATTACTACTTATTTGTATCGATAGGATACGCACTTACTGAGCAGCGCTTCACTTCTTACGAAAATGTACGAAAATGCCTCGATGACTGGTTTGCCTCAAAAGAGCAACAGTTTTTTTGGCGTGGCATCCACAAATTGTCAGACAGGTGGGAAAAATGTATAGCTAGCGATGGGCAATACTTCGAATAAAATATTTTTTATCATTTTCATACAATAAACGTGTATTTTCTATAAAAAAATTCCGGTTTCATATTTACATACCTGGTACAATACTTACGTCTCGTCCCATGCTAAATACCTGGAATCGATAAATCTAACGAGCAAAAGCTATTTTTACGTTTGAACGTAAAAATTGACCGTTTCAATGGTAAACAAGATTGCGTCCGGATTATATAATGTAACGATAACCGTTATTAGCCTATTTTTTTCCAACTGCATCTTTTGTGATCGGTTTCTTCGTTCTTATTTCCTCTATTCAAATATACATCTAAAATAAATATCACAGTTAATGATATAGCGTCCCAATTTATTTATATGATTACAATTATTTATTTATATGATTATAATTAACCCTTTAACTGCTGAGATATTAAATGACCAGTATGACCCTCTTTGCTGAGTCATTTTTATAATTATAAAATATTTTATAATTTGCTGATGATCCAGAATTTCACAAATTCACATTTTTTAATTTTAAAAAAATACCACACGCAATACCACACACATTGAAAGTCCAAATCGAGTAAACTCGATCGTAGCAAGGCCCCCATTTTTTTCCACACTCGAGTTATCTCGACCGTAGCAGTTAAAGCAGTTAAACATACATTAGAATTGCATCCGTTTTCCTAAATAAATCACTAAATACAGACTGATATTTTTATTAGTACTGTGTGCATATATAGGCATCACAGATAAAAAGTGACAATTAATCATGTGCAAAATAGCCAAATGACTATATATATGCAAGTAGGCCGGATAAAACTGAACAGGAAAGTCTACTCCCAATTTCAAAACCATGTAAAATTTATTATTTAATTATCAGTGAAAATAATTAGTACGAAAAGATTGAGAAAGACGAATCATAGCTTGATGAAATAACGTGATTCTGTAGAAAATAGCTGACCGTGCAATTGTCTCTTAGTAGAGCTTAGTATTGGCTAATAGTAGAAGGCGAAGAAAAGATACGAGAGGCGCATAGACAATTGTTTGTCGTAACATCCGATGTTGATTGCTACTAATTAAGAAGAAAAATATAACGCTATTAAAACCTCAAACGTTAAAGCTTTTTATTTAAATAAATTTTACTTGTATTCAGCCTAATATATGTATTATTAATTCATGTGATTTTACTAGAGATGTGCGAACTATTCGAATTCGAATCGAATCGAATCGAATCTAATGTAATTCGATTCGATTCAAATCCGAATTCCTATGATTCGAATCCGAATAATTTGAGGATTTCGAATCGCAAAGATTCGAATACGAATCAAATACATTAGCGTTTGCGCGCATCAGCTACAAAACGGACCATCTGGGCCTGTATGTTTGAACCCTTAACTTGTAATTAACTTAACTTATAATTAATAACTTAATTATAAATTGCTTTAAATATTTAAATATATATTTTACTTTAAGATGATATTATAATATCAATATTGTCTTTCATATTAAAATCGCCCATGATTATTTGCATGTTTAATAGTCATATTAAATTTTTTAATGATTCGATTTGATTTGAATTTGAATAAAATTTCATAGATTCGGTTCAATTCAAATTCGAATTTAAAAAATGAGATTCGATTCGATTCGACATAAAAATTCTTGATTCGCACATCTCTAGAATTTATTTACTTTCATGATAAAATTACTCGGTTTCTACTAATTGCAACATTCAGCTTCTTTTCTTTTGTCTATCTCATCCGGAATGCAGTGTCAAAGGTAAATCTATGTACAAGTAAAAATCGCACAAACGTGGTGGTTTTCCATTCGACAGCAGCGCTGGATGTTTTGATACCCACGCGAAAAATCAGTGCTACGATGTGCACATCGACTTTGAAGGAGACAATCCGCATTTCGCCGCACGTTTCGCCCTAAATACAATCGTTTGATCACTAACCTTATTTATTTGCGGGGGAGATGACGGTCCCTTCTCGATCGTTAGTCTACCGATTTTCGGATTACACGATCATTGCAAATCAAATGAGAAAGACTTTCGTGCGCGTTTTCCGCCGCGCATTCACACGGGATTCTTCAGTGATCTTTAGTGACTTTGTGTTCGCGAAGTTGGTAGGTCTTCGCAACTGCTACTTGAAAGCAGTCAACGATCGCGCTGCATTGTGGCGATCGAATGGCCGCCTCGTCCGATGTCTGTCCATTCTGTTCTTCTGTAATTAGTTTTACTTTATCTGGTGGTCCCCGCGAGAACGGTATCCCCCGTCGACCCGGTAAGTCAATCGACCTGATCGGTAGCAACGTGTCTCGAGGTGCAACGGTAATTATTTGCCGCGCGTGGATTTATTGCGCGAACGTGCTGCTACCGAGAGACGTGCACACACATACACGGCCGGTGATTTGTTTTTCATTAAATAACGCACAGCTCGCCGAGCATCGCTGAAAATTGCAAGCCCGATCCCGCGTGCGCCCTTGGCCGACGCGTTTACAAGGTGTATCGAGCGGATGGTCGACCTAGCGTAACGACAAGTGTAACGTACAGTAGTTTGTCAAGATGTCCATTTGCATGCAAAATCATGGAACATCCTTATCCCCCCGTCCACCCGCTAGTCACTAGGTTAGCGTGCGTTTAACGGGAAAACAAGTAGCAATAAAGTACGTTTCGGGGCTGGCGAGTCTGAGATTGGATGGTTGATAGCGCGGAAATCAATTACACGAGCCTGTGTATGTTTTAATTTTGTGCAGACTCTTTTTTTCGTTACATTGAAAGGCGAGAAGTGTATGAAATATAGTCTAGAGGAATATACATTGCATTTAAGTTATGCATTTGAATATACATTATATTAATTATTATGTTAAATTTCGTTTCTCTTCAAAGACTTTCAATCAGCTTTGATACTCAATGTACTTATGCATTATCATCATTGTGTCCTTGATAGAGATATTATACGAAAACAGTATTGAGCAAGTTTGCTTGCGTAATCCTGAAGACTATCACTATGATTAAGTATGAAAAAAGTTTCCTATCTCTTGACGTAACTGTCACGCCATTACATGTAAAACATAAACGAAAGAATACAAATATTTTATTCACAAATAAGTAAAAAGAACTTGTTCTTATTTTCTTTTCATAATTTCTTATTTTATCCTATAGCTATATCTTGGTATTTTTTAATGCAATTTTTACAAATATCCCTTTTTTTTATTAAATTGCTATAGGTTTAGTGACATAGCAACAATATTAGCATTAACAAAAGTAACATTGAAATGGAAAAGAGTGCTGATGGCTTGCTGTTTCGCACTGAAAAAAATAATGGTGCCGAGGAAACAGCCATGGACATTGTACGTGTTGATGAGAGGGTGGCTATTTTAGACGCAGGTGCACAATATGGAAAGGTGATAGACCGAAAAATTCGTGAATTAAATGTTCATAGTGAAATTCTGCCACTTGATACACCCGCATTTACTTTACAAGAAAAAGGATATAAGTAAGACTTATATACTTTCTATTAATATATTATCATATCTGTTGTGATTTTATGCAAAGTAAGTTCTTAATTATTCATGTCACCAATGCACATATGTCAATTGTTTTAGGGCTATTGTAATTTCTGGAGGTCCTAGTTCAGTATATGCGGAAGATGCACCTAGATATGATGCTGATATCTTTCGAATAGGAATTCCTGTATTAGGTATTTGTTATGGGATGCAAATGTTAAACAAAGAATTCGGTGGTACTGTAACCAAACGAGAAGCTCGAGAGGATGGCCAATATCCCATTGAAGTTGATACCAAGTGCCTGTTATTTAAGTATGTAAATTGCAATTCATTAAAAAATCTACTATAATTAGGTTAGCCTTTCATATCTTTCCCTTTTGTATGTATTATAAGAATTGTGAATGTTTTTTTTGTTGAAGAATTTTTTTTTTCTTTCAAAATCTGAAAATAATGACATGATGAATTATTTATCTTAGGGGCTTGGATAAAGATCAAATGGTATTGTTAACACATGGAGATTGCATAGATAGGGTGGCCGAGTGTTTTCGTACTACTGCCAGATCATCAAGCTTCGTAGTGGGTATAGCAAGCGATAAAATGAATTTGTACGGTGTACAATTTCACCCAGAAGTAGATTTAACATCCAATGGAAAAACAATGCTACAAAACTTTTTATTTGGTATTGCTGGTCTTACGGGTAATTATACGCTCCGTGATCGGGAAGCACAATGTATTCAATATATCAGGAATACTGTGGGTAACAAGAAAGTTTTGGTAAGCAATGGGCAAACATTCTGAGCTACACTACATGATAAATCGGAATAAATTACATCAAGACTTACAAGAGCCATAGTAAGATATCGTTGTGCTTTATTAATTTTGATGATTATGACTAAACTAATAATTTTGTTTGGTTACACAATCGTTTATAAAAATTGATAAAGCACGACATTTCGCGTATGACTCTTATTAGCCCTAATATAATCTATTTTGGTTTTTTAATCATAATATAATTTGGTATATAATTATTACAAAATAAAATTAAAAAAATGATATACTGCTGATAAATCGATGATTATATCAGTACTTTAGATATGTGTAACAATAATTGCTTAAGTCTACTTAAATTTAAATGTTTATAGTTACTGGTGAGTGGTGGAGTAGATTCAACAGTATGCGCAGCACTGTTACATAAAGCTTTAAGCAAGGAACAAGTTATAGCTTTACACATTAACAATGGCTTCATGCGGAAGGGAGAGACACAATCAGTGGAACAAAGTTTAGCGCAACTAGGTGTTAAATTAAAAGTAGTGAATGCTGGTCGCTGCTTTATGCAAGGCACGACGACTGTTCCTCTGGACAACATCGCATCCATGATGAACGCTAATGTAACCAACAATAAAGGAATGTGCGGCACGGCGAGTAGCCCGAGAACCAGATTAACGAAGATGTTATGCGAGACCACCAATCCGGAGGAGAAACGGAAGATTATAGGAGACATTTTCGTAAGAGTTGCGAACGAGACAATGGCGGAAATGGGATTGAAACCAGAAGATGTTTTTCTTGGACAAGGCACTCTTAGGCCTGATCTCATAGAAAGTGCAAGCGCCTTAGTTAGTGGTGGGTCCCCCCTTTCTGATATCTTTGTATTCATCTTTTGCATTTATTACTTCTAGGACGGTATTCATAGACATAGACCTTATATTTAAGATTATCTTAATTTCATCTTTAGATCTTTTCTAGCCAATAAAATGATTCAGCATTTAAAAATGAACTTAAGATTTAAGATTGGATTATGAATATCGTTTTTAAAATGTTTCGGACTGTGTGCAACGAGTAATTTCGGATTTTCTAAGATTTAAAAAAAAACATTTATTACACTATTCAATACTTAGACATTATCGTCATTGCATTCTTGATACAGACATTGAATGCAAACAAGATTGAGCGAGTTAATTTGCGTAACGCTGAAGACCATCAATGATTACCATTAAATTAAAAGAAATTTCCTTCGTTATCTTCCGTTAGATGCCGTTAACGCGAACTTGGTTTATTCAGGTAAAGCAGATGTCATAAAGACACACCATAACGACAGTGAGCTCGTGCGAGTATTACGAGCGCAAGGGCATGTAGTCGAGCCGCTGAAAGATTTTCACAAAGACGAAGTGAGGCAGTTGGGATGCGACCTCGGCTTACCAACATCGCTCGTCGTTCGTCATCCATTCCCGGGCCCTGGTCTTGCAGTTAGAATCCTTTGTGCGGACGAACCTTACATAGAGAAAGATTTCTCCGAGACTCAGGTACTACGAATGCAATGCGACAGCGTCGAAAGTCCATGAAGAAGATCTAAACCATTTGCTCGGCGATGCACTAATTCGCGGTGCATTTGCACTGCTTGCAGGTCATAGTGAAAATAATGGCCGAATACGAGCAGATGCTACAGAAGAAGCACGCGTTGTTAAATCGCGTAGAAAGTGCGACTAGCGAAGTCGAGCGTCAGTATCTCCGCAGAGTGTCGAGTCGTCGTCATATCGCGGCGACTCTCTTACCGATTCGCAGCGTAGGCGTTCAGGTAAACGAAAGTTCCACGATATGAGTATCTCGCGATGATGCCGGATATTGAATCATTTCTGTTGACAGGGCGATCGGAGAAGTTACAGCTATGTGGTAGGTCTGTCATGCGAGGAGACTGTGTCCGAGGGGATAGAATGGGAGGACATGTTGTTCCTCGCAAAGCTGATTCCACGCGTGTGCCACAACGTGAATCGCGTGTGCTACATCTTTGGGCCACAGCTTCATCACCCAATCCAGGACATTACACCTACGTATCTCACTTCGAACGTGATAGCGACCCTGCGGCAGGCGGACCACTTAGCTAATCAAGTGTTCGCCGCGAATGGCTGTATGGACGCAATCAGCCAGATGCCTGTTGTTTTAATCCCCATACACTTTGACCGTGACGCGGCGTGTCGAACGCTGTCATGTCAACGTTCCGTTGTGCTTAGGCCGTTCTGTACTAATGATTTTATGACTGGGACACCTGCCATTCCCGGAAAGGATCTGCCGATACACGTAGGTTCACGATGCGTTTCTTCATAGCTTATATGTTTATATATTTGCAAAGCATACTTATTTGGTATATCCGATATATTAAGGATGATTTTTTGCAATTATTTTCACTCTTCATGTAGCAATAATAATCGTGTCTCTTTCACTCTCGCAGGTGGTAAAGAAAGTGGTAACGGAAATATCCACGGTGCCCGGAATCTCACGCGTTTTGTACGACCTAACGTCTAAACCTCCGGGAACAACCGAATGGGAGTAGTGAACGCTCATCTCATCCCTTTCTATTTTTTCACCATCCCTGCGCGCGACTACAAAGCAAAATATATATATTTAAAAAAATATATATATATTACAAAACACACACGAATTCGAGGTTGGAGACTTCTTACTAATTTATATATGACCTTCGAGCAAACTTTTTCAAAGACATGCATTAACAAGTCGTGTATTAACAGGCTTCTCTAGAAAAAGAATGGCATTTGATTGAAATTTAAAGGTAAGTATCGTGTTTGCTTGTAAATATGTTTCTCTTGATTACACACTCAGACTTACACATTGTAAAAAAAGGTGTGTTAATTTATTAAAATCTAAAGTTTTGTATTCAATCGCCGTTATTACATCTCGAATCGTTACATCCGATCGACGGTACCATTAGATTACTGTTGTACTCGATCTGCATATAACGTTGAACGTGTCTCACCGTTCTTCTGTATGTCCTATGCCAAATGCAGTTCCCAGTTTTCGTTGTACATCTACAAAACAGGCGGACATATAAATAAGTTAATGTGTATCATGTGCCGAATATTTTTTATTTATCGTTCATGAGCGAGTAAAGCGATGTTTATTCCTTAAATCTGCAGTATTTTTATTATCCATCTGTTATATACGACACAACATGAATCCGTTTATAACGCACCAATGTACAGAGATAGATTACCTGTGCATGGTTTTCAGCAGGATATGTAAATCTGCGATGCGTTTCTTCTGCGGGAGCATGCTAAGAAACGTCGCAAGTGAGAGAAAATCCACTTCGTTTACGGCATTAGATTTAGTAACCCACGTTTGTATTTGCATCTTTACCTATAAAAATTCACGTTTAATTTAGCTCCATTGGAAAGTTCTATAGAGAAAAATTATATTATGTAATATATTTTAATATAGACTTTTAATTAATTTATTTTTACCCGTAAAAATATAAAAAAAAGAGAAATTTCATTTAATCTTATATTGAAAAAACAGAATTTCAAGTATGTACAAACTAGGTTCAGTATTAACAGAAAATTTGGAAATTTTTGAAGGACATATTTATTCAGTTTTCTTTCATTCTCTCCGGTCAATCGTTTAAAATAGTATGTAGAAGTCCAAATTTTTTTAAATAATATCAATTTCCCGATTGACGATCTAAATATGAACAAGAATGACGTGCATTTAGTAATGCACGTCACATTTGTTTATAAGTCATTGCTCTAAGTTTTAAGAGCGGTTCATTTCCGGGTGTACAATAAAAGCGAATGAAATTTAAAACCATAGAAACTAATGCTGAGATAAAACCACATCTGTAATCGTTATAGTCAATAATTCTCACGAGATATTACCGACACGTTTTATTATCATCAGATACATATTTTGCGTGAATTTATTATTTGTTACTATGCCAATACCACAGTTTATCATATTTTATTTTCGATACGACGCGTCCATCGCGATTATTATTTACTTGAGTTTATTTTATATCCACTGACTCTATAAGTATCGAACGGTCTGAACACCGAATGGGAACAGGTTTGCAGACAGGAAACATCGCTTTTGAAAGAAATAAGATCGATCATTTTATAAAAAGAAAAAAAATGACGTGCCTAGTAAATACAAGAAAGAAAGAGAGAGGAGAGAGAGAGAGAGAGAGAGAGAGAGAGAGAGAGAGAGAGAGAGAGAGAGAGAGAGAGAAAGGGGAATTTGATATTTATAATAAATATTACGGCGATTGTAACAGGTAAACCGTTTGTATCACACTCTCCATGAAGAAATAGTTTTGTACAACGTTACTGTTTAGCATCGGGTGGAATTATTACACATTTTGTATGCGTGTATGCGTGCGTGTGCGTGTGTGTGTGGCGCGCACCAGATCTCAAGTGTAGAACGCAAAAGCTCAGTTCCTATTCGATACTTTTGTCTTAACGAATAATTGTGCGGTACCTGTTGTAACGGAAGAGTAAAAAGATGGTTCACAAGATTGATCAACATTTCCTGATGTTTGTCTACGTTCTCATTGTTATGTAAAATACTCAAATTCTGTAAAATAAAGGTATCGGCTTTATCCATGGCGACGTTATTGCGTGAAATCTCAATCCGATTCGTCCGATGCATTGCGGATTCTGTTTCTTCGGTATCGTCCTTCATGCACGGTTGATTTTCCGCGTGTGGTTTTACATCTTGCGAGATCCCACATGCAGCTTTTGTTTCATCTTTATGTCTTGCATCCCCGCCATCGCGACAAATTTCCGAGGACGAGGAGGCTGCTGCCTCTTGCGACTGTTCGACTGATCGATCCGAGCTACCCTCTTTCTTGTTCGTTTCTTTCGAGCTCACTCCGTACGCTTCTCTTTTCATGTTGCAATACATCTGCACGTCACGTCGCACGTCGGGATGCAAGTCGCTGCCCATTAACGCCGACAGAACATCCGGGTCAACTTGCGAAAACGATTCCTGCGTCTTCGGAGTTTCCTCGTCACGCGTGTTCATCTCTTCCAGAGGAGTTGTGTTCTTGGCAGCCGTCTCTGTATCAACTCGGGATCGTTCCTTGCTCCTTTTGTATTCGTCGAATATTTCATTCCGTATATCCTGCGGCAGTTCGATCAACACAGACATGTCGAGGTCTTGTATTCGCGGTGGCATCTCGTACTTGGAGGATTTTCCGCTGCTCGGCTTTATATGTTTGAAGAAGTTCTCCTGAGACGTTTGCTTCTGCGCGGTTTTCTTGCTCGATTTTCCCGACGGATCTTTCGTTTCAGCCGCGTGAATGATATTTTTGTTCGCTCTTTTACGATCGTGCGACGTTTCATTTTTCGCTTCAATCGCAAGTGATGATGGATCTGTTTGTAAAATAGCAAGTGGAACTGCTGTGTGTTCAAATTCGAAAGACTGTGCTGATCTCGAAGACTGATTATCGATCTTAGCACTGGAAGCATTCTCCGTCGCCGATTTTGTAGTCTGTGGTGTCTCGGGACTATTCTTTTTGTGTGCTTCACTGAGCTTCGAGTCGTGTTGATTCTTCTTATTGTTATCTCCCGATGTATTCTCGCACGTCCGCACCTTTTCCGTTTTATCGAAGAAGTTTTTCAAGCTGCCTTTGTTCTTACATATCTCCAGTCGAGAAATTTGTATTCCGATTCCTCGCATATCTTCGGGCGTTAGGTGTAATTGATTCCATATGCTGACCACTTCCCTGTGTGAAAACAATACTGTTAAATGGAAAAAAGAAGAAATTGTGTCATTCAGTTAAACGTCGACGTCGCTGCTGCAAACATAAGTATTCACCTCAATTATACTTGTACGATAGTAATTTTTTCAATATGGATACATATAATTAAATATGATGATAACATATAAAGCTCTGCAGGTCAAAATCAATAAAAAATTTCTCTACCATTTCGCGAATAACCATGTGAAACTTTAAATTGTTAATTAAAGAAAATCGGTAAACAACCGTGTGCGACCAATTACGAATCTTCTTTAATTAATAACTTGAAACGTGATTGTTTGCAAAATAATAGAAGACTTTTATGTTTAGTTCGACCTGACCTACATGTATACGAGAGCTTTATGTATGTCAAACATCCTGTATGTATATAGCCGTATGAAAAATAAATGTACTTTTTACAACCATCTTTGTCTTACTTCTCTTCATATAATTTCTATCTTCTCTCCTTATGATCATTTTCTTTTATAATCATGCTTATTTCTGATAATTACTTTCATAATCATCTTTTTTCCTAGGAATCCAACTCACTTCCTATTAACGGAGGAATTAACGTGTAACGAATTAATGGAGCAACTCACTTTCTGATGATGCCGACATCGTCAACAGATGCTATGAGATTTCTGGACTTTGTAATATAATTGCAGAGACCGTGGCCCATGAATTTGGCAGTTTCCTTCGGCGCCTCCTTCGCCCTGATCATAAGCTTCAATGTGACGCATCTGCCCTTTACGCGAGCCGCTGTTAGCCGGCTGCACACCTCCGTCGACAATTTACTCAAGAAATTGACGGCGTCTTCGTTGTCTCGAAATCTTATACCATAATTCACCTCGGCCGACACCGATTTTCTCACATGCTCCAGATTCAGCTTTGTGTCGTCCAGGCCGCGGCACATCTTGTGCAACTGCTCACCCGTTTTTCTGCCGAACTCCTTTTGCAGAAGTCCCAACGAGACCATCTGCAGTTGTTCGCACGTGCGCACGTTCATCTCGTGTAGCTTGTGTGTCGTCGTCCCGCCGACGCCTAAAATTACAAACGAACAACATCAGAGTGAGACACATATACTATGTTAACGATTTTCATACGAAACTTCCATTTCCACAAAATACAAGTTTCGATAACGTAAATCACTAAAGAAACATCAAGATATACCGGGTAGATCTCTTACGTTGAGAGTCCGGATATACGGTTCCGCGTTTCGACCGCTCAAGTAAAACTGATTGTCGGGTTTGGCTTTCCGCGTCGCCAATCTCGCCAGCAGTTTGTTGCTTCCGAAGCCAGTGGAGACTGGGCAGCCAGTTTTCCGCTTGATTTTTTCCCTAATCACAGTCGCGAATTCCAACGGCGAGAGTCCAGACGTTTCGAGCACTTTCGTGCAATCCGCATACATCTCGTCGCAGCTCACCGCTTCGATGCTCAATGTGTAGGACGCCACGGTGTCGTACAATGCATAAGAAACCTCCTTGTATCCCTCAAAATCGTACTGAATAGTCTTTAGATTCGGACACATCTTCAGCGCCTCTCCCAGGAACATACCGTTCTTCACGCCTGCCTTTCTCGCTGCATATGAGCATGAAGCCACCTCCGACATCGATCCGAACTCCTCTTTGCCGTCGTGACTTGTAGAGTGCACGTTGCCCTTTGCATGCGCTACCGCCACCGGTAGGCCTTGCAACTCCGGCCTCTTTCTGATACCCACGGATACGAAGAAACAGTCCATATCGATGTGCATTATGACAAATTCCCGTTTGTTGCATGCCTTGCTATTGTCAAAACCGATCGTATCATCTTCTGAGTCCGATTCGCGACCAGCTAAAGACGAAGTACCCCTGACTTTCCTCGACTTTGTTAAACGCTCGAGCTCAGGAAACGTCCCGTCGCTTTTGTCTCTTAACTCGTTGACATAATCTTTAAAAGTGGTCCCCATGGTGGCGATGTAATGCAATCTAGAGTTACTGTAAAACGCAGATAGGAATTCTGTGTCCCTCGTAGACTGTGCATTTATTCTTGCACTTGAAGACTGAGGAATGTTGATTTTATCATGTATCCTAGTATCGTTATTTGTACCTTCATCCAGCACATTTATATCAATTGTACTATTTTTATTGTTCACAGTGTTTGTTGAAACTTCAGCATCCATCTTGTCCTGTGTAACTGACTCAATGTTAAATTTACCATTTTTAATATTTAATTTATATGCCAACTGAGGTTGCGCATTAGTACTGTTAGAATAAAGTAAGTAATTCTGAAAATTTAAGATTTTTCCAGCTGCTATACTTTCAGTGATCCATTGTGGTTTGCATATAGGAATTGGGTTTTGACTTCTCCTGTATAACACTATTTTTGAATGCGGTAAATTGGATGCTATAATATGAGTTGTGATTCTAGGACGCATATAGTGATGATATATGCCACCATGCATCATCATTAGATGTCTGAGCTCATCAGATGTTGGATCTGTGTAACCATTTACAAATATTGCAATTCCTTCGAATAATTTTGATGATTCTTTAAATTCTTTGGTAGCTTTATCACGAAATTGCTCCTCCAATTTAGCTTTCTTAGCAGCCATATAACCACCCTAAAATATATTCATTATTGAAGAAAAATTGCCAATAATATATACTAATTGCTTATATATTTACCCAGTCCTCAAATCCATTTTCTCCCCAAGCATGATCTCTTTTTTTCCTTGACATAATTGTACTATAATTTTACCACAGACTCAGAGTTCCTTAATAATTATACATTTGATATACTGAAAAAGAAGAGAATTTCTCAATTTAGGTGTTACAACTGACTTTTCAAAACTTACTTCAAATTTTAAATAAATAAAAATTATCCCTTATGGAAATTCTTATCTATTATAATTCGAATCATTAATAATTTTAAATTTACCTCCAGATAAATTAAAAATATGAAACTGTCAACTCAATTTTTATAACCTCAAACTAATATGTAGAAAACAGGATTTCATCGTAAGAAATATTTATGTTTTACTATTGATTATATCTTGAAAATATAATAAATTATTGATAAATTTAAATATTTTTTATAAATACTTTATGTGTAATAAATTATTAATAATTTTTAATAACAAACCAATCACGTCATTGAGAAGTAAACAGGCTAGCAAACTCATCGTTGAATTTACTACTTATGAATAAAGCCAGCGGCACACGGTGCTTGTTTTCGTGCTGGATTGCTTGCTGGATGAAAATATTGCGTTCTGATTGATACATTTCCGAAGATAGATGGAAATGCACCAATCAGAACGTAGTATTTTCATCCAGCAAGCAATCCAGCACGAAATCAAGCACCGCGTGCCGCTGGTTTAATACTTCGCCTGACTTAAGCCAGCGGCACACGGTGTTTGTTTTCATACTGGATTGCTTGCTGGATAAAAATACTACGTTCTGATTGGTACATTTTCGAAGATGGATGGAAATGCACCAATTAGAACGCAGTATTGTCATCCAGCAAGCAATCCAACACAAAAACAGGCACTGTGTGTCACTGGCTTTATTTGGTCTGTTCTTTGTAGCTGTACGTACTGTTGAACTGGTGCAATAAATTAAAGTGAGACAAATATAGGTTTTCTCACTCTAGCTTATTGCACTAGTTCAGCAGTTAGCTATAAAGAACAGACCAATTGTTGATTCATGTGGTCTGTTCTTTGTAGCTGCACTGCTGAACTGGTGCAATAAGCTAGAATGGGAAAACCTATATTTATCTCACTTTAACTTATTGCACCAGTTCAACAGTGCAACTATAAAGAACAGACCAATAGTCTGTTTGTTTTTTAAGAACCTCTAGGAATCAATAGCCGCGTTCAGCAGAAACAGCTGCTACTAAGCGCTTAGTGATTATCGCTCCTGATTGGTTTATTCCCTTAGATTCGTTAAAGATCTAAAAGAATATTCCAATTGTAGTTAATAATCACTAAGCGCTTAATAAACAGCTTTTTCGGCTGAATGCGGCCCACGCGAATTTGTGAAAAATGAATATTTCCATATAAAATAATTAAATACCCAACACTCGATATCTATACCGGAAAATTTTGTATTTCTATCTCAGAGGGAACATCCGAGTCAATTAATTAAAAAATAAAACCGGAATTAATAAATTCAGGCAATTCAAATTTACATATACGTTAACTATAAACTCCAAGGAGCTACCTCTCTCTTTCTCTCTCTGTCTCTTCCTAATTGAATTATATCGAAAGAGATCCAATACTTTTATTAGTTTTAAAATTTCCGCTACGAATTGCCACTTTTTTAAGGGTTTGAAGTTATAGTACGACTCAACGATAATTCAGTCAGTTCTCTCCAAATAATACGATTTAAATATATTTTATAAAAATGGTTATTTTCTAATACAATGATCAGATAAAGGGTAGATGTTTACTTCTACTTATTAATCAAAAATAAAATGGGTATAAATAAAATAAAAATTTACATTCAAAAGTCATTGTTGTTTTCTATTATCTTCCTTTCCACTATTCTTGTAAATTAACGTAACGAAAAAGTAATTAAAAAATTACACTTTCTACAACGTACATATTGTTTTTTAATTTAAAAATTCAGTATTTTTCATTTATTGTTTCATTCTATGCAAACTGAGTTTAAACGGAACGTCCTTGAATCGTATTATCAGTTTCACGATATGTGATACGTGACGACGAAAATAACAAGTGCGTCAATAGCTACTTTACGTAACCGGCAAACTCTATAAAATTCAGTTTGACAGATTCTAAAATAGAACAAGGCGAAATTATAATTTCTGTGTTAAATTCATGCAGATACATATATTATATAAGTATAATGCATTCCTCAAGTCAAAATTATGAAGTATAATTAAAAACGTAATATAATTAATTAATAATACTAAACTAATTAATAAAATTCATAATTAATATTAGTTTGTGCAAATTTAATTGTAAGAAATTGCAAAGTTAATTGTAAGAAATATATAACTGTGATTATATTATTAAAACAAAATTATATATTTCATATTTTTTTAGTTATTAGTTTTTATTCTTTTAATTCTTTACACAACTATTTATTTTTTACGTTTCATCTATAACGTTTCATCTATAAAATTTATAAAATCTTAAAATTTTGTTTATAAAACTTGGTTAATAAATGTATATTTTCCAACATGTTATTTTGATTTTAAAATAAAATGCAATAAATAAAATTTACATTAAGAATACAATTTCTTATTACTAAATACTTATAATTTTATTTGCATTAATATTATATTATTTTCATACATTTATATCTATTAACAGTAGCAACAGTCATCTTATCATGTAAAATATAATATAGCTGAGACATGTAAATCTATAAAACAATCTTTAGACAAAATAATATGAAGTATAACAATAAATTGAAATTAATTACATGTGTAAATACAAAAACAGAGTCGTACCAGACAAGCTCCATATTTGTTAATATTTGTAGAATATCTCTTCTATATAAAATGATTGTAAATTATACAATAAGAATTGTGTAAATCGTATCTTGTACTAAATAGTATCATGTTATACTAAATGGCCGGAAATTTAAAATGCTGTAAAAACAAGTTATATATACATAAAAATCTATTTCTATTTTATCCTTCAATTAACATAATAGATACTATATAAATACTTTTAAGAAATTAGAAGTTGGATAGTGGATTATATCATAATATTCATCACAATCATAATATTTAATTATGATTTAATTATATTTAATTATGAACCATCATTATATTAAAATAACATATATAAAATTGATGCATGTCAAATCCTATGGAAATAAAAAAATTATATATTGCAATTGTGTGCGTGATCGTTAACAATAAACATTACTTTTAATCATTTACTCTTTTTATCATGATGAAGAATTTACAAAAGAGTCACATACTTTACAAAACTTGATTTCTTATAAAAATAATGTTTCTTTGATAATATATATCACATAAACGTGAGACTTTAGGCAACAAATATCATAGTAATAACGAAATTTAAGATATCATTGGAATCTATAGTTTTCGTTAATAACTTTTTGTAAGCACGCTGTAACTACGCTACAGGTATGTTTTATAAGCGGAAGTCATCTGTTCCAGGAAAATAAATGTCAGAACAGTATGAGGTCCCAGGCGTGCATAATACGGGAAGAATCCTTTCCACAATGCAAATAATCCTTCATTTCTTATCACTTTAGTGAGAACATCGAAAGCTCCAGTAAATTCTGGTTTGCCATTTATCGTTTTCATGTTTTGTATTCTAGAAAAAAAAATATTGTATGCTTAATTCTGAATCAAGAATGTCGTCTGCTTTTCCGATTATGAACATTTACTGTAAAATTTACCTTGTTTTTGCTATATCAACAGGCATAGATGCAGCCGTGGTAACTAAACCAGAAATCATAGAGCTTGCAAAATGCAATACAATGTTTTCCTCAAAGTATCCTGGTAAAGAAAATATATTAATAAGTGCAATATAATAAAATTGAAAAATGTTAATTTTATTGTGATTCTCTGATATTCTTTAAGTCATAGGCAAAAAAATTATATAATATTTTTACATGCCTGTATCTAATAATGCTTGTTTTGCTTGTGAATATGAAGCCAGCTGTGCTGCGTTTACAACCATGGCACGTCCCATAGTAGGAATGGCACCACGCCATAAGGTAAATAGACCTTCTTCTCTAATTATACGGAATAATGCATCGAACACATTTTTATAATTGCGTCTATCAGCTAAAAGTATTTAAATTACACAATGACACATACAGTAGTAAATTATATATGTTCAGGAGAATATAAGTTTACCAATAGGCAGTCTTCCATCTGCAGTCATTCTAATTAAAGCTACTTCGGCAGGTGTACCTACAAATGCTCCAACACAACCAGCTGTCATGCCAAGTAGAGCTTTTACAATAAAACTTGGTTGAGCATCTTTCCTAAACAGAACAAATATATACTTTTAACTTAACTTTTAATATGTAAATAACTTTTAATATGTAAATATATACCTTAATGCAATATTATAATATAATTATAGTTTAACTTTCCAATTATACTTACGAAGTAAGTTCTATAAGCCAAGTATATATACCAAGTCTAGTAGTAGTATATGTGGCCTGTCGCATTAAACCAGCAGACAAACCTGAATATAGTGCTAAAATACCTTCATTCTTTAAAATGGATGATGTTACACTTATTGTTGAGGTTTTTGTGCCACTTAACTGCATACGATTTTTTATCAAATCCAATGGCTGTACAAAACATGTTGCTGCCATGCTGCAATTAAATATTATACTATTTAGTAACAAAGTTGACTTTGAATTTGTTTAAGAATCCATAATTTTGCAATAAACTCCAATATATGTAACGATATAATATATAATTTAAATTCTATTCCATAATCTGATAATATTCCTTTCCTTTGTAATTTATGATTTCAATGAATAACATTATTTTTACTTTCCACACTTTTTTCAATAGAAAATAAAGTTAAATAAAAAATCAAATAATTAAATATTATTTTCAATTAAAATACAAACAAAAAGCAATCCATGCGTGTTATGTACATATGTAAGTGATATAAAAATTTGATCAGAAAAATTTTTTTCATGGAGCATACAACAAGAAAAGCTACCAGTTGTCCAGGGTAGAGATGAGGCTATTTATAGTGTGCTATTAAGATGTATCTATGTATACATATATATACATATTGCATCACTCTGAAAAAGTCACATCCAATTTCTTTTCTTTTGTTATTAGTAATAATATCAGCTATATAAATAATCTTCAGCTAAGTAATCCGTGAGAGGCAACTCTTGTAAAACCTGAAAGATCTTGACCCTTAAACTATCAAGTCAATGATTGCGAAACACATTCATGATATAACGACTGTTATCAAAGCGCAGTGTCATTTTCTAAAATTGCATGACTTCAAGACTATTTATTCGCAAATATTACAAGTCTAAGACAAATATAAAAAAAGAGTACACAAACCCTGAAGTGCCACCAATGAGGAACTTGATGCCGTTCGGTACTGTCTTTTGGCTGCTCATTTTGATACAATTGGATTAAATGGTAACTTGTTGAATATTGATGTATTAACTATATTAATTGTACTTGTTGCTCGCTTTGGCGTGAAGTAACTAACAAAAATCACAGAAAAATATTGTAAAAGCAAGAAACTAAAGTTATTCACGTCCAAAGCGTGTTGTTGGCTATACACTGTCCATGAAGAGAGAGGAAGTCGGAATGTCGGAATACATCGACTGCGCTCCCTCGACCGTCGGTCATATCATGTGTCATCAGCTGATACGAATTTGCGGAAAAAAATAACAGAGCGCCACCTTTTCGTGGTTATTCATCGAAAGTTGAATTCTTCTTCGCTCTTGGGGAGCAGTCTAAAACCACATCTGGGAATGCTAATATATGTATATAAACATATTCAAAAATGATGGTGAAATCATCAACATAAATTGATAAGATTTACAAAAATTACGTTATGTAATTCTAACCTATCAGCTAGTCTTTAGCGCTGATGTTGGCAACCATATTGTTTTTTAATATTTGGAGCCGAGTCCTGATTGGTTCGAAAAGCACGCAATCGTGGAATCGACAGTTACTCCATGTTATATATGCATAGTTGCTAGATGCAATATATTGTGGCGCTACAGCGCATGCGTGAGATGACAGCAAGCTGCTTAAGTAAAAGTCTCAGTATCGTATCTCTTTTAAGGTATTATAGCGCTCGTATTATACTATGCATTGAGAATTGCAATCGAGTAAATTAGATAATCTAAATCGTGGTTATTTTAATTGATCCGATAGTAATTCTCAATCTAGATTACAATTTTTCACTTAACAATGTCATTGTTACATAAGTATTATGTAACAGTTACATAGTCGAGTGAGAAATTATAATGTTAATGTAACATAACTGTACTTAGTATCCACTGGACAACATAACCTGGGATAAGGCACTCGCGCAAGAAACGCGGGAAAATTATGCGGGAAGACAGCTGATCGGATAGCGCGGGCCCCTCCATAGACCCTGCGATGCGTTTTATTGCCGTCATTGGCATATGCTTTGTAGAGCTTACGTCTTCTCACGCATGCGCTGTAGCGTCGCAATATATTGCATCTAGCAACTATGGTTATATGTCTCTTGTGAGACTAGGAAGTTAACGTGATTTTATCAATATATCGAGAAATATTGAAAAATTATATTAAATATATATTTCAACATGAAGCCAACACTCGTAGCCGACGAAATGTTTCCTGAGGGAGCCGGACCCTATGTTGAATTAGAAGAGGTAATGAGTTGTGCGATTGTAACGTGAAAGAGGTTAGAAATTGTCATCAACAGTTTCGTTTCAAACTTTAAATTATACTCTGTGATTTAATGCGATTTCTTTTTTAAATAACAAACTCCATAGTAAAATATTTGTATGCATAATGATAATTTCAGGTTGGTGGTAGTAGATTATTAGTAGATCTTACAGCAAGTGAGAAAGCAGTTCATTCGGAATTTTTCAATGGTATGTCAAATATCAACTAATCTAACTATGTAGTAACAACTAACTTTTTTCTCTATATAATTCATAGAATACCTGGGAAGAGGGTATTTTGTCTTTGAACAACAATACAGATTAACAGAATATACGGTTAGTTTATTGAAATAATTGTTTCATTTCAGAGTTTGACGATCTTTACGATGATGATGATTTGGACTGAAGCATTCCTAGGGATTCAAACTAAGCGGCGCTTTTGTTTTTGCATAGAGTGCAGTTAACTTAGCATTGAAGCAAAGAACTCGTTCTTGTAAATCCACCATACGGAACATGGTTACGATGTATAAAGAATTAATAGACGTCATACATTGTTGGTTGCATTCAGCAGAGAGTAGCATTGGATTGGCACTTGATACTATATCGCCAATAAATTGAGAATTTTGCTGAATATTCTTTGTTACGTTACATTTGCCTATACCTCATATTGCGTTACGCTTATTCAGCATAAGTTTGAAAAAAATGTCCAAATATTCAACAAAAAAATGGCAAAACAATCACATAGCTGTTTTTTCTGTTGAATGCAATCATTAAATATAAGTGTTTACGTGTATAATAGATATGAAAAAATGTATCATTTTTCTTTAGTTTGCTGTATAAAACTACTGCAAACCCTCACATAGTGTCATTATTAATACATCTGTTTTTCTTCTCGAAAGACTAACCACAAACTACAAACTTCATTATAACATTATTACAATTTATTTATATTTTTTAATTCGAGTCAGATGTGTGCCTGCATCTATCATACGTCACTTTACTGCGTACCACAGACAATTGTTATTAATATAAACGTGCCATAAGAAAATGAGTACTGGTCAATATGTCTTGTACACATAATATTGATACTGTAAGATTATAATTTATATAATACATAGACGCTAGTCATATAAACTTGTATGACGATGCACAATTAAAATATAGCACCCCATTATCTCAGTCATGCTGCATTTGTTCACCCAATTGTTTATCACTCCGCGCTAGTGCATCGAACTCTAATTTACTTGATACGAAAAAAGAGCCACTTAGACTTGCCAATTCACTTAGCCCAATTAATCGCTACGTGTTCTCCTTGGCCCCAATCAACGTGTCTCTCTGCCTTTGACCATTCTCATTTACTTCAACGAATTTACTTTCCACTCGCGACGTTTATCAACTCTCGTATCCTTGCTCTTGTGTGTTAAAAACTGGCGACCGGGGTGTAGACGACGTTGGCAATAGCGGCGATATTATTAACGTTTGACATCGCTGATGATAGTGGCGAGTATCCTGAAATTCAGACGTAAACTTGTAGTAGTTTCAAGCGTTATTTAATATATCTTATCACACGTGTCTGGAAGTTTTATATAAATATAGATATTTGCCACTCGTGCCTACTGAGTCAACTCTGTAAAGTGATATCATTAGATGTAATCGTTAAAAGTAGATAACACGTGAGAGACGCGATACCGACAAAACCGATGCGTATACCGAATATACAAACCCTGAGTCTAGCCTTTGAAAAGTTATTCGGGGTGCTAGTTAACTTCAAGATCACTATCAGCCTGGTCATCTTGATCGCTTTCTTCCTCCTCGTCTTCCTCTTCCGAAAAGTATTGAGAAGGAGGCGATAAAGCATCTTCTGACAATGAAGTATGCGACGACGAGGGTGGTCGAGAACCTTCCAATTTGATATCTAAATCATCCATCGATGTGCTCGGGCCGGGAATAGTCACTGGAATAAACTTCTCCAAGTCCCCTGATGCCAATTCTGCAATGATTGTCGCGTTTAGAATACTGAGGAGACTAAAGCTATATATTTGCATATAAGATACGTAGTACATAAAAAGCACGTACGTTCCACATATTTCTCAAGCGATTTCGGGACCATTGATTTTGCCTTTCGCAAATTCTCTTCAGTGCATTCCCCCTTTTCCAAACCTTTTCCAAACCAAAAGAGACAATACATGGATATATTTGCATTTGCAGCAGATTAGTACTATTATCAAATTTTTGCTATAAAGATAGTGCAATAGAATCGCAGTATTATTACCAAAAGCTAGACCCATCTGCTTCAAAACCTCGATATCGTCATGAATCTCAAACTTATCATTAAAATTAAACAGGTACTCAGTTCTGTGAAAAGAGAAGAATTAAAAAAATTGGCTTGATTTTTCTGCATCGCTCACTGATTAAAAGATCTTTGAAGATTATCGCGACATACTTGTCATTTGAAATGCTGCAATCTATGACAGTCTTTTTACTGGTATTCACAATGAGGAATGGCAGCTGAATGGCAGAATTCGGCTTCGGTGACCCGCGAACGCTTTCGTTCGAACGATTACGCTCTACCAAGTTCTTGAAGGAAATGTGAGAGAGGATAAGCTGATGTAATTGCTGTGTTTTTGCCTTAATTCTGTCAATCTTCTTCTTCTTATCCTTTTCTAATGCCGCACATTCTTGCAGAGAATTAGTAGGCAGTCCGAGCCACCTGATTTCTTTTTTTTCTTTGGAAATAATATTCATTGCCATTAGCACGTTTAGAGCATCGTATACACGTCTTCTGATATTTTTCTGATCATATTGCTGCAAAAGAAGACGACTGTAAAGCATCGAATTTTACAAGCAGTCGGATGATAAGCATGTGGAAAACACTACTTATCATTAAGCAAATATTTACATAAAATAAATAAACGAATCCATTGATATATTCCTCGTGTTTAAAACCAGCGCATGTGTATCAGACGGAATAAATACCTGATCTGTCAAGGAATTTATGTGAGCAGGATTAGTAAACTCGCCGACCAATTCATCCGCCACTTCATTGTACGAAGTAGTACCTTTCTTTTTTACTTTTTCACATACTTTCATGGAGAAGTGTCTCAATCCTTTACCGACCTTCTCCGCTTTTCTTCGTTTACTAAAATGTACAAAAAATGTATTGCAAGTTGATGTTTGTAGCACAACGCGATTAGATATGAAAACAAACATTATACATTATTATTATCGAACAAACTCTACTTAATGTTTTCTACATAAAATTTTATATAAAATTAAAATGTATACAATAAAACATTATATTACTCAGGCACAAAGTCGCCACCATCGATGTCCTGCCTCTTTCTAGATCCACTATGATCTAGTATCGGACTGATAAAGGTTTTTCCTGTGGCATCCTTAACAAGTTGCTGAGTATTGGATTGCTGTTGCTGTTGCTGCTGCTGCTGAGAGACGATAGCTTGTTTTATATCGCTCTAAAAATGAAGCATGCGTATTTCGATGTTGTTCATCATGAAATTCAATGAATTCAATTCTTTTCATTGAACTCCCTTATGAAACGTATATTTACCATTTGCGCAGAAGTAAGCTGTATGGTCTTAGTCATCACAGGCTCCCCTGATTTTGATGTTGCCATTTTAGTGTTTTGCAAAGGTATTGTTACTAGTCCTACAATTATATTGAGTTTATATTGAGAGTATCTTCATGGAATGATGATGTCTGCAATTTTGTGAAAAGTGTACCTTTAAGTGAAATGTACTTACTCTGCCCAGGAGTAGACGGACTTTGCAAACTGATAGTCCTAAGAATGTGTGCATTTGATGACAAAACCTAGTTACAACAATATATAATATTTAATAAAATCATGGTTTATCTTATATATGATTTATGTATAACATGTATAATAAATGTTATTATATAGTGATAGAACATTATTTACATATCCTAATTTGTTTACTTTGAAATACATATTGTTCAAGAAAAGATCTGCTGTAATAGCTATGTTATAATGTGAGATAAAGACAGTATATAACCTCTGTTATTGGACCAATGTACTAGAAATGTATAAATTTTGGGCAAATACCTGGGATTCTTGATTAGGAGCTTTAAATACTTTAAGGCCACCTGCATTTGTTGTGCTAACAATACCACTTAATGCTTTATTAGGTGTACTTTGCACTACTTTTATCACTTGTGGTTGTCCTGTAATAAATTTGACTGGTCTATAATTACTTGCAGATGTATATTTATAGGTACAGTATAATTTAGAAACTTTTATTTTTTTATTAGATGGAGCAGGTCCAATTTAGTGTCTAACGTCGAAGTAATCTTCAGGTAATAATTTATGTAGCTAATGACAAGATATGTATATAACATATGTATTGTGCATTAACAGCCAAGTAAACATATCATAATGAATGCATGCTTAGGATGCATGTTACAAACAATGATTTTAGATTAAGTAAATATAACAAAGAATTTGTCACCAAAACTATATGGCCATAATGATAAATTATCACAGTTTATATATTAAAATATATATATGTGACTAATTTTACTACCAAATATAAACTGCATTCAATTTATATACTTCATAAGCTATTTCTTATATTTAGAAAGTTGCATGATAATCTAAAAGTCTTCCATGTATGTTCCATCTTATCTTATAGCTTGCATAAATTACGCAATGTTTCAGGTATATATTTGACCAAAAAGATAAATTGTCAGTGATCAAGTTAACAAATTGTTTACTAGTCTTGCAAGTATTTAAGAAACATATTAATGAAATATTTATCCAAGGACAAAGTACTTGATAGTTTCCAGAAACTCAAGTATTCAGAAAACTATCAAGTATTTAGGAACACTGCATATATCTTTCTTATTTACATGAACAATCCATATTGCAGAAGATACAACTTGGTTTAGGTTTCTGTTGCTGAAATAAATGCAATAATGAGTGTTTATCTTTGTGAGACCACAGTGAACAATACGGTGAATATAACCATAACATTTTCCACTCAATGAGCATAGAAACTGTGTCATTATTGAAAGGACAACCAACAGTTTCCTGTGCAATCTCGACAGAGTGATATTTTACCAAATAGTCATGATAGCCAGAGAATGGCAGAAGAAAGGCACAGTTGCAACAGAAATATAAACCAACGCCTAACTCTTGTACCGCCAAGATCTGTTCATGCCTCTAAGTAACCATCTGGCACACAAACGTTTAGGCGACGAGGCGAGCAACATCGTGAGGAGAGCGTCAAAAGAGAGATACTAAGAGAGCAACGCGTTAACTGGCAAAACCTCTTGGGAGATGGTAAATGTGCTTCTGCTCCCAACCAACCTAGACAAAGTCGAGATGAAGGGTGCGTAAATTCGCGACCGGTGCGATCCCGGCGATAACGACGCGGCAAGGACGAGGCCGGGCGTTCGGGTCGGCGCGTACGCGGCCACGGTCGAATTTTACTCGATGTTAAAGGGCGAAACCGAGACGAGGGAAATACGCGCGATGCCGACACGCGTGCCGACGGTTGGCGCGCGCTCCTGATTCCACTTACCGTTAGCGTCGTGTATTAGGAAATTCATCGTTTTGTTTTGCTGTGTCATCTCCAGCGTTATTGGACCGTCGACACGCTGAGGACGATTCCGACGTTGGGTTGTGCACAAAACGAAAATAAAAAGATCATAGGGCTACACTTTGCTTTGGATCTCGACTCGCCGTATCACCAAAATGGCGACCCCGCTATATAAAAGCACTTGCGGCGGTGATTTGCGAGGTGTCGCAGGTTGCACGACCGGCTCCGCCTGTCGATTGTGGAAAATCGGCGCCTCCTCTATCGCGATCGGCCGGACATCAT